CCCCAAAAACTGCTGCTGCCTTTGATTTTGATTGAATTTTTTTGCTTCTATACGCGCTGATGGCCATTTGAATTCGATTTTCTTGAGAAAGAGGCATTTTAGATGATGGTGGTGACAAAATGACGCGTTGAAGTATGATTGTTGGAAAATTGCGGAGGAAGTGGACGGGACGGCCGTGTGGACGGCTCGGCCGTGGATTACGTTATCTTTCCCTTATTAATAGACTCTATAGCGCTGCGCGCATATTCTTTCAAGTGATTTTGTCTTGCACTGCTTTGGTTGAACAGAACCCTGGGGTTTCGGCGTTGATTAATTTGGTGCCATGTATCATGTTTTATTATTAGACTGATTGATGAGGGAAATGCAAATGAGACATGAGTATTTATCATTAAATCTGGACCCAGTATCATCCTTCAGATCGTCAATCAAGTCTCAACAGTTTTTGCATTGTATGCATGTAGCGACGCAATTAATCCCAAGAGATCCTACCCAAGTCAGCAACATAATCAAGAACAGGAAGAAAGGCAACTCACGCAAGCATAATTCCGGCTCCAACAGCAACAGCCAGAAACTGCACAATCGTCTTCCGAATCTCAACACTCTTGTTCTTACCCGTCTCCAACAACTCCGGAATAACAGACACAGTCCCAACATACAAGAACGTCCCCGCCGTAAACGGCAGCAACATATCTCCCCATGTCAAACTGGTTCCAAATAACCCAGCCGCAGCACCAGCAGCATCAGAACCCGCAGGGGTAGCATCAGTACCATGGCCACTGAGTTCCTGCACTGCAATTCCGATAAGTGTACCCAGGAACGCTCCGACAGCGGTAACGAATTGCGCACCCATAGCCTTTCGCTTGGAGAAACCGGATTGCACGAGGAGCGCAAAGTCACCAACTTCGTGCGGGATTTCGTGGAAGAAGACGGCGACGGTGGTTGTTGCGCCGATGGTGGGGGAGGCGTAGAAGGAGGAAGACATGGCGAGGCCGTCGGTGATATTGTGAGTAAAGTCCGCGATGAGGTTAAGGTAGCCACCAAGCTTAACGCTGGGATTTATCTCCTTCTCGTCCTTGGTGGAAGTCGAGGGGTCGTGCTGTTGGGTGGTAGTGGGTTTGCGCTGCTTAAGCTCGTTGTCGCTAGTATGCTGGGCACCGGTTGCTGTCACGGCTTGGGACTGACTATCGTCCGCATGGCTATGGCCGTGCGAATGGTCGTGGCCTTCCCCACCAGTCGCAATGCGTAGTGTCTTGTCCATAGCCACGAACGTAAAGAAACCAACCATAATACCCACACCAAGGAGGAGGTTCCGGTTCGGCTCGACCATGACGAATCGCACATGCTCCGGGGAGTCCTCTCCCAGGAAGATCTCGGGGAGGAGGTGAAAGAGTGTGTCACCCAGGAGACCTCCTACAGCGAACGCGACCATGACGGAGAGAGAGGAGGGGTCGATGTTGGGTGGGCATAGGGCCAGGAGGAAGTCTAGTTACGGCTGTTAATACAGTGCGCGGGACTTATTTGGATGGCGCTCTAGATTGACATACTTGGAGGTCCGGAGATATACAATGTCGCCAGGAGAGCATTGACGGCAGGGCTTCCGGGGAAGAGAACCGAGAAGATCTTGGAGGTTAAACTGGTGGTTTCGGGGATGGTAGCGCGTTTGTGCTCATTGAGGGTTTCCACCAGAGGGCATTTCTGTCATTTGCTTGGTAAGGATTTTCTCTTCATGCTGAAAAACGCTCAAAGACAGCTTGTTACCTGCAATTCCTCCTCAATCTCACCCACTGACAGCTCCCCAACAGGAACAGCATTGGCGGCCGCAAGGGCAGAGAAAACAACGACAGCAGCGACCAGCGCCAGTCCAGTCCCGCGCATTGCAGGCGCGAATCCGAACGCCATTGCGTATTAGAGGTAAGTTGAAATTCTGGTCAATGTTTTGACCAGACGAAGGTGAGGAGGTCGAAGATAAGACCCCCTCGGCGATATCGGTTGTTGATCACAGGTGCAAACACGCCAAGACAAATGATGCAAACATCAAAAGTTTCGGAATCAATCGATAAGAGATCTTTCACAAGTCAAGAAAAAAGCATCGCATCCCATAACAAGCTTCTCTCAAGCAAGTCTACAAAATGACGAACATTCGCCAAGCTAAAAAGAACCGGTCTTCGTTGCCCAAGGCCAAGCCTAAGAGGAGTGGTGTCGTTAAAAGTGGGCGCAAGAAGATCAATGTGCTGGGCAATTCTATTATTGCTGAGAATTGGTATTTCTCTCCCTTTCCCCTCCCTGATTTCCCTGAGAATGAATGCTTACGGTCAATCACAGGGACCGCAAGCAGACTCTTACCCAAAACTACCGCCGCCTGGGTCTGGTGCACCGTCTGAACGCCCCGGCCGGTGGCAGCGAGCGCCGCGGCACAACCGTGGAAGGCTACGAAGAACAACCCGACGACTCTCTTCACATTAAGAGCAGCGCAAAAGCCACGACAAAGCAATTGGGGCTCGGTGAAATCAAGGTCGAGCGTGACCCCGAAACCGGCAATATCATCCGCGTGATTCGCCCCGACGACGAGATCGAAGTCGCCGGCCGCAAGCACAAGATTTCCAACCCGCTTAACGACCCGCTGAACGATCTGTCCAATGACGAGGCCCGGATAACAGAGGCTGCGAAGCAGAATGATAGTTCTGTGATTGTGCAAATGCTTGAGCGCCAGGCGGCGCATGAGGGCAAGGCGGTTGAGAGCAAGAAGCCAAGGCACCTAAGCAAGCGGGAAGAGGAGTGGGCGACAAGGTTGATTGAGCGGCATGGAGATGACTATAGCGCTATGGCGCGCGATATGAAGTTGAACCCTATGCAGCAGACTGCGGGCGATTTGAAGCGGCGGATTTGCAAGTTCAAGGAGAGCCAGTCATAATCTGCTGGTTGGTGTCTTTGGCTATTTTGATGCATGTTGATGGGCGAGTTTGGAGTTTTGCCGGTTTTTACTTTGTGTTTTCTGATATAAAAGTTCTATATCTGGGTCTGCTTTTCCATGCCATGTTGATATTCTCTCTGGCCTGGTCAAATGAACCAGCGTTATTAATGCACATATGTGATGCCCAAAACCTCACTTTTTCCATCCTGTCTCATTTCTTATTGCTGCAACTTGTCATGACAATTGCATCTAACAACTAACTCAATCTAGTACATCATCCTCTGTCCAATAATTGGTGTCAAACCATACAAACTCATCTATTTTAATACTCGCGTCACGTCTGTCATTCACTGTCTTCCAGCTGTTTTTTGTTTGTCTCCCCCCTTCAACATCTTCTCACCTTCATCCTCTTTCCCCTCTCAAAAACTCGACCAAACCTTTACCACCATGACTCGAACCATCTCCTTCGTCGTTTGGGCCATCCTCGCCATTGTCCATCTTGGACAGGCGCAGGTTGGCTAGTAAGTCACTTTATACCAACCCTAGAGATCACCCAGCGTCCTAACGCGTCCGCCCTCTAGCAACCCGAAAACAAACACCCTTCTCTGCTCGAAGCCAGGAGGACATTATTGTCTCGAAGGGTCTCTGAAGAGTCCTATCATAATGTCTTGCTTGTCTAACACGGATGCTGAAATACGTTCTTGCAATATTGAGTAAGTTGAGAGAGATACCGTACGCGTGTTTGATAGGGTACACGGCTGACCGTGCATTAGACTCTCGAAAATTCTCCCTAGAGGTTATGAAGAAACCGCTGTTTGTAAGATGTCCGCTTTCTATCCTGGATTCGAACGCTTCATCTAACAAGTATATACCAGGCTACGAATCATCTCCCAGCGCCGGTGACGCCGTTTGCGCCTTCAACGGAACAGGGTACACCCTCGACGGCTCTCGAGTCAAGCTTGACGAGACCGTCCTGTGTGATACACCGGCCTCCCTCCTATCAAAGAGAGACGGCCCGGCTCAGGGAGTAAACTCGACGCCAACTACTACCATAACGGTCACCGTCTACGAGAGCACCCACACGCAGGTTAAGACTCAAATCCCGTCCGTTGATACTACCACGCCAGTCAATTCAAGCCCCTGGCCGGAATATGGGTATACCACAACTGCCATTGCCACTGGCAGTTCCAGCTCTGGCACTAGCTCTACAGAGACCCAGGTATCGTCGATTGATACTAGCATCCCGGTTTCCTCAGACCCCTGGGCTGAAAGTGAATATACCACAGCCACCTCCATCTCTGCTATTACCAGTGCTAATCCTAGCTCTGCAGAGTTTGAGACATTGCCAGTTGATGCTACCACGCCAATTTGTTCGAACCCTTGGCCTGAGAGTGGACATACAGCAACCGCGGCCACGGTTATGCCAGGTAATTCCAGCCCTATTCCCAGCGCTAGCTCTACGGAGCCGGAAGCAGAGGACATGGACAATGAAAAAGCCATGCCAATATTCCAACCCCACATTTTCGTGGAAACCTCAATCGAGACTGAATCCTCAAACAACCCCCCATACCCTACAATCACAATGGCGATCGTAACCGAAACACAAACCGAAACTGAATCCAGCACCACACCAACGGACGCACCACCACGAGAGACTGAATTCGAGCCGGTGCCCTTCAAAAACTCCGAATCTGAATCCACTCGGCCATGGATGATTGTCTCAGAAGAGCAAGACATCGCTACAGTGGCAGGAGAAAAACTCACGATGACCGCTCTTCTGCTTGTGAACGGATATACACCTGCCACTAGCGATACGGGAAGGCCTACTATAAAATTTAAAACCCCATTCACGGCACTGGATACCTTCACGCCCTCTGAAACTGAGACCGATCGCCCGTGGATGATCGTCGACCGAGAGGAAGATGTAATCACGGTGTCGGGGCAAAAATTGACGGGGACGGCTTTGATAGTTACGAATGAGCCCGCACCTGCGACTGCATCTCGTGGGGAACAGACGGGAGTAAGAACGCAAACGGGAACGGGTACGCTTGTCTCGTCTTCGTCTTCGTCGTTTGAGACTTGGACGGGGGTCGATCTTGATAGACTGAGTCAGACTGCGAGTACTAAACATTCCTCGGGTGGTGTGAAGGTATCGGGCTTGGTTAAAGGCTTGCTCACGCTTGGATGGATATTGGTGGTTTGGTGTATGCTTGTTGGGGTTTGAAGTGGACTAGGGTTGCTACTGTCCTTTCTCTTCGCTTGGCCGGGGCTACTAGGCGGGTTTTTGTTTATGTGCCTTCAGTCTCATTTATCTCAAAGATTTTACAGTGTACAATCTACCTGGATAATGAAAAGCTCTATTTTTCACACTATCACGCCCTCTCCCCCACAAACCCCTGCTCAGCAACCCTCCCCCCATCCAACACAACATAATAATCCGCATCCTTAATCGCCTCCAACCGATGCGCAACCGTAATCACCGTCGAATCCCTCATCTCATCCCTAAGAATCATCTGAATCTCCAACGACGTCTCATGATCAATCGACGCCGTCGCCTCATCAAGAATAACAACCGGACTCCGTCTCAGCACAGCCCTAGACAACCCAATTAACTGTCTCTGTCCCTGGCTTAGATTGCGGCCACCGGCTTCGACGAAAGTGTCTAGTGTCCAGCCGTGTCTGGCGCAGAGGCGGTGGAGGACGTCTGCGCATTCGGTGTCCGGGTAGTCGTTTGTGGGGTCGAGGTTTAGGCGGATGGTCCCGGGGAAGAGGACGGGGTCTTGGGCGACGAAGGTGACGCGGGTGCGCAGGGCTTGGGTGTTGACTTTTGCGATGTCAATGCCGTCGATTATGATGCGGCCGGATTCGGGGCGGATCACGCTTAAGAGTGATATAGCGAGCGTGGATTTGCCGCTGCCTGTGCGGCCGATGACCGCTGTTGTGGAGCCGCCTGGGATTCGGAGGGCGATGTTGGACAGGGACGGGTCGAGGTGTGGTGCGTAGCGGATTGTCACGTCTTCGAATGTGATGTCGTGGCCGTATTTGGGCCAGGAGGCTGGGGGTGAGATGGTTCCTGGTGTTTCTTGTTCGACATGGAGGAGCTCGTCTATGCGTTCTACGGAGACGAAGTCCATTTGTAGTTGGCCGTATTGCTTGCATAGGCTGTGTGTTGATGCGACGAAGTTGTTTGCTGCGATTAAGACGAATGCAGCCAGGCCAGGAGAAACGTTCGTGTATAGAGCCAGAACTGTCAAGCAGAACGTGGACAGGCCTGAGAGGTTTTCGAAACGGTACATCAACCAGCTTTGCAAGGACCAGTAGAAGTGGTCCATACCTTGGAATTGGTCCACAACATCGATAACACGGTTCTGGAAACGCTCTTCAGCGTGAAAAGCGCGAACTGTAGTCAGGCCATGCAGGAGCTCGCCGAAATTCGAGATTAGAGGACTGAGCGACACCATTTCCAGCCGGCGCAGACTCTGTGATGTCGGTAGGAAACGCAAGAAGACAACAATGAATGCACTGGTCAGAACAAGCGAAAAGGCCAAGAACGTTGGCGTCACCGAAGCAATGACAACAATAGACGAAATCCAGGTAATCGCTTGAAACGCAATAATTTGGAACTGCCCGCTGATGTTGCCGTCCACGACTCCAATGTCCGATGTGAGACGGTTCATCAAACGGCCGATGGGAGTGACATCGAAGAATCGGAATGTGGCATGGCTGACTCCCATCATCACTTGTCTAAAGAGCGTTTTCCCCGCGAAATAGACGATGATCAGCATCAACACTTGCCCAACCAGCAGCATGAAAGCCTGGAAAGTTGTGATCAAGAAGAATGCTAACAACCAGGGTTTGACGTCGTCGAGGGGCGCGGGCAGCCGATCAATTGGGCTATTTGGCAACGAATTCAGACCTCGCCATGCTTGCACGAGGGAATGCTGATCGTAAGCCTCTCCCCATTCTTTCAAGAACCAGGATTGCCCAACTGACACCAGGCGGTAAATCGTCATGACAATGACAAGCGCGATCCACCATCTATATTTGCCAGCTCTGATATAATCCCAGTAGACCTTGGCTTTTACACCCCATTCTGCTCGATGCTCCTCTTCAATGAACTTGTCTGGAACTGCAGTTTCTGTGCCTTCCATCTCATCCTCATGTTGAGGCCCAGCTTCTTCATCGTCTGAGGGAGGCTGTTGAGCGACATCGTCCGTAGCGGCGGTAGAAATAGCATCCTTTCCGTAAACAGTCGCACGTCCATCCTTGATGTCGATTATTTGGGTTGCGATATGACGAACGAGCGCGGTACGGTGCGTCACAAGCACAACCATCCGGTTTTGCATAAGCGGACCCGAGAAGAACTTGCGAACAATCGTTTCCGCTGTATTGTGGTCCAGAGCGGAAATTGGATCATCAAGCAACAGTATCCTGGATGCACTATAGAGTGCCCGGGCAAGGGCTACACGAGCCTTCTGTCCACCTGAAAGGCCAATGCCGTTCTCGCCCACAAAAGACAGATCGCCATGCTTGAAGTTCGAAAGATCAGGGAGCAACGCGCAGACATCTAGGACTCGCTTATATCGTTGTTCATCATAAGGAGACGAGAACAGGATGTTGTCGCGGATACTCATGCTTTGGAGCCATGGCGTCTGGGCGCAATATCCAATCATCTCATTGGGAATATGCGAGTCACCACTAAGCCTGTCCAGTTCTCCAAGGAATGCTTGGAGTAGTGCTGATTTTCCGGCACCGACTTTGCCAGAGACCACGGTTAATCCGTTGGGAATCGTCAATGAGATGTCAGAAAGCACAGACAGCCTTTTACCCGGCCAGGCAAAAGAGCAAGATTCCATTTGAATTGGAGTCGAGTCGGCATGAATCTGCATAGGTCTGACCTCTTTGTTTGGCTCCGACATGAAGCTCTCAATTCTTTCCACAGCAATGGAAGCGTTAATCAACACTGTAATAAGACCAGGGATATCTCTAAGCCGGGTCTCCAGCATGGTGAAGAGCTGCAATGCTGGAAAGATAATGTCAACCCGTAGCGGATTGCCAGCTAGTAGTGTATAGGCATATAACGCCAACACAGGGAACACGCCACTAGCGAACGCGTTGACGAAGCGGATAAGGATATTCCACAAACTGGTCACAATCCGGAGGTTTAGCTCGGACTGTCTGGCATCCATGACTTGGTTAAGCCAGTGATTTTGCCATCCATACCAACGTAGGTGTCGCAGGGCTTCCACGAACTGGGAAGAGATCTGTAGTCGCACATCTGTCGCTGCCCTTCTCACTCGCTCCCATCGAAGGAGAGTACGAGTAATGATCGCATTGATTACCTGCGCAACCAGGACTGCCAGAATACCCAAGAAGCAGGACGGTCCGAACAGTTTCCAGACGAGGATGACAGCAATCACGAGGCCCAGGGGTTTATCGACCAACGAGTCAATCTCCCAAAATCTTTGAGCCACTTCGTAAGCATCGCCACGTAGCAGGTTGAATATCTTTCCGATAGAGGCTGCCTCTTTAGTGTCCTCCTTACGGGTTTCGCGACCCCAAGGAATGAGCCCGCATAGCTTTCTCTTTTGAGTTTGTGACTCCGTAGGGGTTTCATCTTCCTGGTCTTGAGGCTTATCATCCTCATTGTCGATTTTAACACCAAAGATATTCTTCCTGGACAGAGCTTTCTCATAGATCATCATGACCATCTCGCCTCTGCTTCTTTCGTAGCATCTTCGGCCATACCAGAGAAGCAGGACCTGGGATTGCGCAGCAACAAAACGAACAACGAGTGATAGGAAGGCATATGTCAAAGCCACGCTTTTCGGCGCCGCGACATCGCTCATTGCCTGTAATAGCTGCTGCAACAATACCGGAGTTGAAAAGTCTATAAGACTGTCAGCACTCGTTCTACCAGGGTGTATAGAAGAACATACCGCAAAGCATCTGCAGAATGGCAATAGCAGTAATGATAAAAACATCAATGCCATTCGCATGCAGCAAGCGGCCAATAACGGAACCTCGAAGCCGACGGAACCTATCATGCAGTCTCCGATGCTGAAATTCAAATCCAAGGGACCAAACGTCATCTTCTTGGAGTTGTCGCTTCTTCCCTGTCGATATCAATGGGGCCATCCATGAGACAGTAAGGAACTGCCATAGTCGCAAGTTGTCCTCTGGGCTGCGGAACTTGCTAGATGGTTGCTGGCCTACTGCGGAAATATCGATGCATGGCAGAGCAGGTGCTCGTAGTGGCATTAGAAGGATGACCAGACAGCCCAGCATAGCAGCGCCAGCTGCAATGTAGTGGGAAATCAATTTGAACCTCGGGTATGTCTCAACGCTGAGAACGATGGAGACTTTCACAGCAAAAGCTGTAATGAAGAATGCGAGCATTGGAGTAGGACTTGACCTTGGATGTCTATTTGCAATCAGAAGGGTAGCAGCTGTCTATGTTTTTGTTAATCATCGCTTGTGGTACCACCGATTCCAGATACACTTACCCATGAGATAGTTAGTATAATAGCAGCTGAATCCAATCCAGGAGGAACCAATTGAGCTACCTCAGCTGCAAGACCAATAGCCAAGACAATCAAAAGGGACAGTACCCAGCCCAGCCGTCGTTTGGCTCCTTGTAGTGATGGACTGTCCGGGGGATACTCCGCAACAAAGGATGCTGTCCATTTTGGTCTCCATCTTTGCAAGTAATAGCCCAGGAAATGGCCAATTCCAATAATAAGCACTATAGCGCCCGGGATGGCAGACATATATGGCATCACACATGGTGACAATCGAGCTTTGGATGAGTCCTTGAATGATCATTAGCCGCTTATAGTAGACCTGACCGGCAGTCTGCAAATACCCATATTGGATGGCAAGAGGATGAAAATCCATTGTCTTGATATGAGTGCATTGGACCACTTTGACTGACCAAGTCCAATTGTAGCCTTGAATGGTTTGTCAGGGTCGAGGTTGGAGATGGATGTTCGCAGCTGAGCTTAACTTATTAGGGAGGCGGAGATCGGGTTCGGGTTCCGCTGACTTGGGGTCATTTCAGCAAGCTTGCAAGTTCTACTCCGTATATGAAATGCAAATTAATGGGAATGTTTCGTAGTAAATGTTTTGAAAAGATTAACTGGCTCGACTCGTTCAAAGGACAATGATTCCGTCACATGTCACGTGTTGTACGAGAGGCGGTCGCATTAAAGATATGTTGTCCATGGTAGAGCTATATGTACATTCCATGGGAGAATACTGCTATTATTTACAATTGTTGTTACTTCTTACCATCTTCCACGCTAACCCGGTGCACAATCCGAACCCATCGTCGCCTTCGCCATTCGCCAATTCCATAGGACCCTACACTTCCTTCCTCCCAATCTGGTCCCTTTTTCCCGTTTCGCTTGTGCGGTGGGTTCTTTCTCTTCTCCCCGTTCGATATTGGTGTTGGATCGTGATCGTAAGTAGATGAGCCATCGCGATTAGTTTTCATAGGCAGATCCCACACCCAGCCTCCGACCTCGCTGGATCCGGTACCGTCTGCTTCACTTCCGGGGATCTCAAATCCGACACCAGTGATCATACGCTCGACAACCCACTCACGACAGTCCAGATCCAATTCCCATTTTTTGTTTTTCCAGGCCCAGCCGGAGGGTGGTTGTACATCTTCAAAGAATCGACATCCCCGAGGACGGTCCCCTGCGATGCGGGCTGGCGAGAGTGGATCATGGGGAACGGAACTGAAGAGGAAATGCTCCCATCGTGATTCAGCATACGGCTCGGGGGACCAATACTGGAGTTCGAAGATTTCCACCTCGCGCTCCTCCGTATATGAATCCAAGGAGATCTCAGCCAACGGTCCCAGGGCAGACATGGTTGCGTACGGACTCGATGGCAAGGAAATTCCAAGTAGGTCCTGCGCCTCTTTCTCTAACATCGTTGGTTCGCCCGTTGTCTCATTTAGGAAGTCATTCGCGAGATTTCGAAAGAAGTCCTGGATGCCTGGATGATTGGATAGAACGACCGCGTTGCCACCCACGAGGATAATGTACCTCCAGGGGAGGAGATGCGCTGCTGGGAATAAAAGCACTGCGGTAACAGTTAATAAGAGGAACATCACTGAAGCCAACTTCTCGTTGGAGAAGTCTGTGACCGGGGCGAACATGGAGATGATTCCATCGTGCAGATCAGAGAAATCGGCCATGCAGTTCTGAAGATCACGCAGGTTGCGAAAGAAATCTTTGGATGTCTCGGATGCCGGCTCAATTGTTTTTGGAGGAGCTAGCGCAGGGCCTTCGTAGGAGTAGTACGGAGTAGTGCTGGACGTGGATGAGGAGGGAGGCGGAGGATGGCGGGCGAGGAAGGCAGGAACCATGACATAGACAAGAATCGCAGCAATAGGAAGAATCGCGAGGATATGAGGATCGAGACAGACGAAGGAGTAGACAACGAGGAAGGAAATGGTATGGGACGCTTTGCGCCAGTTGAGTAGACGCTCGATTTGATTCTGGAGGGAGAATACTATGCCGATTCTGGGTAGTGTCAGTATGCGTTCTCTCCCTCATCATCTGCTTGATAGTATTGGGAGAATACCTTGCGTTAAATCGACGGAAGTTTTGTGTCATCAAAGGTAAGCTAAAGGCAGGTCGCTTGGGGTCGACAGCTGCTGCGGGCTTGTCGCCTGATAGTACGGGTTCATTGTCGCCATTTTCCTCTACCGGGAACATCTGCTGGAGAAATCTTGACCTGTGAGCTTGGAAACTGATCGAAAAGCGCGGATGGGCTTGACACACTTGGTAAACAGTCGATCTTGTATCGAACGTCCAGAGGTGGACCCGGATCTCTTATGTTTGTGCTGCGCATTATTCGTAGTAGAGGTGGTACTGCTCACGCTCTCTGCTCGACTCCGGGGAGAAATGACGGGAATTGGTTCATTGCGATTGACGACAGCATTCGCAGAGTGATCCTCCATGATGGCTCATAATAATAGACTTATGTAAAAAGAGAGAGACGACATTCTCGGAGAAGAGAAGGAAGTGAGCGAGTCACATGCTGGAGCGGGGACCGAGCGATGAACGTTGGAAAACGTAGTTTGTCATGTTTACACACAATGTCTTGTTTGCATCAAGATCGCCGACTAGCCCGGAAATGGCTAGTCCCTTACACTCAGTACAATACAGTATCACGCCGATTGCAGAACATATCAATCCTAAAGGGGCTACGCAGATGAACTGGTATCATCTGGTATCATAATACTCTACAGAAAGGAAATGAGGCATCATATACACCACAATCATAAAACTGTAGCAAATGAAATGATACATATATAAAGGCTTGTATCTGTATATACTGGAATATCTCAGGGGACTCCTGTTTGTGGCGCCAAGCCAGCGACACTAAGAGAGAGATCTTGCCTTGCTCCGAAGCAGAGTTTCTTCCTCAACTCTCTTTCTCTGGCCGACTTGGAAAAATAAAAAAAAGTCCCCTATAGGGGGTTACTGCATCAACCACTCGACAGTGTCTCTTCTGTATTGCTGGAAGGGGTTGTTTTCTCGTTCTTTTTCTATTTCTTAAGCATCGACCATCTCAACAAAAAGCTTCAAATCTCTGTCTCCTCCTGTCGCCTATAATCCCCGCAATGGACCGTTAACGACGGTGTGGTCGGGTCGCGCGACGGTGTCATGGTCAAGACGTCTTGTTATCTGTTTGGACACAATCCTTTTATACGGCATCTTCTCCTATACAACTGGTCCTTCTCCTGAATGGACTGCCAGTGCAATTGGTCTGCGGTTTTCATCGAGTTTTCGACTGTTGTCTCCTTTGTCCTTTCGCCCAGTTCCACCTCATCTCGCCTCCCCCCTCCTGACCGCGTCGGTACCAGACCTCCTATAAAAAATTCATAAAAAATAACCGAAACGAAAGGGATTCAACGATGCCGGCATCAATCCCATCCCAGCAAACACCTGGGAAAGATTCATCGGGTTGGGTTCAGTCCCGGAGCTCCAATCCGCCTCGAGACGATGACTCGGGCTCTGGAGGTATGGTGGTACAACACTGACCAGTGATGCCATAGGGCAGAAAAGACAATAGATGTGCTAATGGTTCTGTTTTCAATCTTGACAGTTGAAGCCCCATCTTCCCGCAGACGATTACACAAGCCCGTTTCGGAAGCTAATCTACAATCCGAAGCTTCCCATCAGCCCTCTAAGAGTATCACCGGGTCGCGTTTTGGTGCCATGGCCAAGAGGAGGTTATCCATTCGCGATCAGAAGGCGCCTCAGGGTCCGCGACCGCAGGAATCCTCGCAAAGAAGGTAGGATATTGGCCGTGTCGAGTGTCGAGTTTTGCTGGCTCAATAGTGCCTGATTCGAATGTCGCCTTGTCTATTCGACTGCAAAATCCACCAACGGAGTTTTGAGATTTTTCCAACTAACCTCTACTTTCTCTTCTAGTAACATATCCGGCTCATTTTATCACTCCGGAGATTCCTCAATCGGCTCAACAGGCGATCGCCATAACCATAACACTAATTCGCGCGTTAACCTCCGATCGGCCAGCATGGTGAACCTCTCGAATATCGATTACAATCCAACGCCTCCCGAAAATGTAGACTTCCTAGCACCGGTCAACTTCGATGATCTACACAATAGTATCGTGGCGGAGCCAAGCTTGAACCACTTCCCCATGCCCGGACACGGAGGCGCTGAAAATCAGCCCCCGGAATTTCCGTCGACCAATCCCTGGGCAGCGGCCACCAACGATGAGAATGAAGCGTCAGGGCGGACACGGAGCGGTTCTATTCGGCGAAAAAGTGAGGTACCTCGTCTGGTTGGATCAAACTTACCGGCAGATTCTTCGCGCCCGTCGACTTCTGGAAATCCTCGGACTCGTCGTTCGAGTCTTGTTCAAGGCACGAGTGCCAGTAGTGCTACGTCACGGGCACCGCGTAAAACTGTTGGGACAGGTTCTTATCCTTCGGGTGTTGCTGCCAGGCGGCAGAGCTTCTCAGCGCGCAAAGCCAGTACTGCCGACCAGCCTAATGGCCTCCTTCAGCCTCGAGGACAGAATCTAGACCCAAACCGTACCGACGAATCAAAGCTTCCGACGAATTCGCGGACGATCAAAGCGAAGTCATTTCAACCTCCGACGAGAGAACCTCGCGAAAACCACTTGTCGACCTCCGGGGTGGTTGACCATTCCCGGTCCTCTTCCACCAATGCTGTTCGGACGCCAATGAAAAATCAAGCTACAGGGCCGCCGCCGGCGACCCCTTCCTCGTCCACCAAAAGGGTATCTGTCATGCCGCATCATGCCACTGGTCTCGGGGCTCGCACGATAAGCCCCACCGATGCACGACGGTTACAACGGATGTCAGCAGCGCCTCAAGTACCCCCGGTACCCTACACCCCCCCGACTCAAACTGACCCCATTCCGGTTCGGCCACGATCGTGCGTCCAATCTCCATCTTACATCCCGCGAAAGAGTGTCACCCCTTCATCGACCAGAACCACACCCGATCCGAACCGGAAGTCCTACACATCTGGACTATCCTTGACGCCCAACGCTGCCAACTCTGCTAGAAACTCGGCAAGTTCTGTACAAACAAGGCAGTCACAAACTCCGTCTTCGTCCTCTCGGCTCCCAACACCCAAACCCCGTGTGGAACATGTGGTGGTTACCGATGAGGAAGAGGTGCCGCCAGTACCCGCGATTCCAAAAGCATTCGAGTCTCCCAAGGGGGAGGAGATCGAGCAACCACTCTTCCCTACGTCGTCACGCAAATCGAGCTTGGCAGTGGAACCCGCCCGTCCCAAATCCAAGCGTGATTCCGATTTGGACACTAATCACAATACAGGTGACGATTCGTCTGAACATTCTGCCAGAAATGCCATGAAGACCCCTGATGCCAAACCCAGGGCCCCAGTGGGCGTTTCGAAGAAGAACCTGCAACCTTTGAAGCTACCGCCCCTTAACCTACTCCCTCTTGGCACTCCAATGGCGACGAAGATTGAAGCACTGAAGGATCGAGAGGAGGAAGGGGCTCGCAAAGCCCATACTCCTTCCGCACAGATTATGCCAAAGACACCAAGCACACCAATGACCGCTTCGAAAGCGAGCTTCTTCCATGCGCGCGATGAAGATGATGTTGGTATGCCTTTGACACAAGCTAGGAGCAGCACATCGCATTTTGTGGTGAGCTCAGGCACAACTGGTCTCAGAACAGCTAGCAGCTCCAGCGCACTTCCATCGTTCGATAGTACCCCCAGCGCCAACAGGACCACTTCGCCTTACGTTTCCTACGCTCTTCCCAAGAGCAACAGTGATCATAACTACCTCCGGAGCAATGCCAGTGGGGACTATTCTCAAAAGCCGCCCCAACCTCAGAAATTGGCCGGTTCTCGTCCTCAAACGCAAACACCCGTTATTTCTTCAAATGGCGAGCGCATTAGCCAAATTTCGACTCCGTCCGAGCCTGAGAATGTCGGCCAGCCGACCCCGTCTTTCCGGAGCAAGCTGAACTTGACGCGGATGCGTAGCAACTCCAAGTCGCAGCAGCCAGATGCGAAAGCGGACCCCGTCAAGCACGACAAGATGCCACCACCCAAGATCCCAAGCTCTTCGACTTGGAACAACTTGTCGTCGGTCCGATCCAGGAGCCCGACTCTCAAACCTGGTTATCTTCAGTCTCGACGGCAAGCATCTATCTCCAGCGGAAACCTGGCTACGGCGAGAAAGCCCAGTTACAGTAGTGAGCAGAGTCTTGCGCTGGAGCCAAGTCCTTCGAATGATTCTGACAAGAGTGATGCGACATCGACTCGTTCTGGTACCTCGATTTTGTCACCCGTTCACAAGATCATCAATTCCGCAAGGTCGAGCGCGGCAAGTAATCAGCGGACTGTGGATCCCAACGTTGATCCTGATGCTGTTGCGGGTGATGAGGAAATGAGACGACTCGGTAGCAAGCGCAAGGACTTTGAGTCTGCTGCACGGGAGCTGGATGATTTGCGTCGCAAGGCAGGACCAAAGGAGCGCGTCAGTCCAGCACAAGCCCTGCGGATGGCAAACTTGAACATCTTCGAACGGGGCGAGATTATCGACTTCAAAGACATCTTTTTCTGCGGGACTCAGAATGCGAAGAAACATGTTGGTGATCTTCACGCCCAGGCGGCCAATTTCGGTTATGATGACGACCGTGGTGACTACAGCATTGTCGCTGGGGATCATCTAGCGTACCGGTACGAAGTCATCGATGTGCTTGGCAAGGGAAGTTTCGGTCAGGTAGTGAGGTGTGTTGATCACAAAACCGGTGGTTTGGTTGCCATAAAGATCATCCGCAATAAGAAGAGGTTCCATCAGCAGGCATTGATCGAGGTCAACCTTCTCCAGAAATTGAAGGAATGGGATCCGCACCGTCGTCACAGTGTGGTCAACTTCACCCAGAGTTTCTACTTCAGAGGCCATCTCTGCATCTCGACAGAGCTTCTGGGCATGAACCTCTACGAGTTCATCAAGGCCCACGACTTCAAGGGATTCTCGGTGAAGCTCATCCGTCGTTTCACGAAACAGATGCTCAGTACGCTGGTCCTGCTACACGCGAAGAAGGTTATCCATTGCGATCTGAAACCGGAAAACATCCTCCTAGTCCACCCGTTGAGCTCCGAGATTCGGTCCATCGATTTCGGTTCAAGTTGTTTTGAGAACGAAAAGGTGTACACCTATATCCAGAGTCGTTTCTACCGTTCGCCTGAAGTTATTCTGGGCATGTCCTATGGTATGCCTATCGATATGTGGAGTATTGGCTGTATATTGGCTGAGCTATACACCGGATACCCGCTATTCCCCGGAGAGAACGAACAGGAGCAGCTCGCATGCATCATGGAGATCTTTGGACCTCCAGAAAAGCATCTCATCGAGAAGAGCACACGGAAGAAGCTGTTTTTCGACTCCATGGGCAAGCCAAGGTTGACTGTTTCTTCCAAGGGCCGGCGGCGCCGGCCAAGCTCCAAGGACCTCCGACAGGTCCTGAGGTGTGATGACGAAGCCTTCCTCGATTTTCTTTGTCGGTGTCTGCGTTGGGACCCCGCTCGTCGTATTAGCCCCCATGATGCCCTTCGGCACGAGTTCATCACGGGTGTCAAAGTGCCCGCGCGTTCCAGAACGTACACGGCCACAAGCTCGCCAGGAAAACGGGTCGCTACCGGCCCCCTCCCATCAACCGGACGGCCCCTTCCGGAGCCACCTGGGACTAGCATAAAGAATGGCAGCTTTATTCGCAGCCGGGACGTTTCTGGTAACTCCCCTGTGAAGCCGCACTTGGCGAAACGGCATCCTACTGTGAGTGGAGCACAACCATCGACTCCTGGCAAGCGGACGATTAGTACCAATGTGGCCTCTACGCCTTCGTCAGCGCTGCCACGCGTTGCGGCACGAAGTATCAGTGGGAAACCGGACCTCGCCACAGCAGCGGCAGCGACTAGCTTGGTAAGTACACGAATATCAGAGTACAGTGATGGTAGTTGCTAACTGATGCTTTAGAGGACCAAGTGATGTGCCGATACATGGCTTCACCCTTTTTTATGTTCTACCTTCTCGTCCATTTACTTATTGTAATAGTACATTTTGTCTGTGAAGGTTTCATCATCATTATTGGAGTTGCGTTATGACTGACTTTGAATTTGATTCGAACCAAGTGGTCGACGAGGCGGAAGCATTCATTCATTCCAATCTTATACCCGTGTCTGAACATCTGCATGTTTTGCTTTTGCTTTTGCTTTTGCCTAGATGATTTGCGTTTTGTTTTGCAACCCATGTGTTTTCTGTGATATCTTTATTATGAAAGCCCCATATCCCATATTTGCATCTCTGTTTACCCATCGTCTGTCTTTCATTTCATCTCATCTGTGTCATCAGACTGGGGCATGTGCGGGACTCGATGTCCCATGCCCTGATAAAAACCTGTACATTTATATTCTTTCCTTTCTCATTATTTACATGGTTTGGCTACGGCTGGTACATGCATTTTTGTAACTGGGGTGGTGTTTTTGCGGATCGAGGTTCTATGTTCATGAAATCAGGTTTTCCATTATTCTGCTGTACAGTCAGGATGCAGAACAGTAGTAGATTATATACGCATTGATGTACTTTACTTACCAAGGACTCCAATATCACCAACGAGCCCTAAGTCAAACAGTCTACTTAATCCCCCCCATGAACCTCCCAAACACCCCCATTAACAAACGAACTCCCCTCCCCAAACAGAAAAACAACCTCATCCGCAACCTCCTCCGCCCTCCCCAACCGTCCGAACGCAATCCCCCCAACATCCTTCTCCTTCCTCTCATCCCCTTCTACATTCCCAGCAAACGTAGGCGTATCCGTCGGCCCCGGCGCAACGGCGTTCACCCGAATCCCCTTCGGCCCTAACTCCGCCGCTAGGGACTTTGTAAGCCCTATAATCCCGAATTTCGTCGCGCAGTACACGGAATACCCCGCGTAGCCTTGGAGACCACAGATACTCGAGACGTTTACGATTGCGGAGCCCGGGTGCATGTGTGGGATGCAGGCGCGGGTTGTGTTGAACGTACCCCGAAGATTAGTGTCGATGAGTTTCGTGAAATACTCATCAGTTGTATCTGTGATAGGTGTTGTGGTTGGATTTATACCCGCGCAGTTAAAAAGATAGTCGAGGGAATTGATCTGCTTAGAGATGAGGTTGGTGCAGTCTGTGGACGACGAGACATCGAGTTTGCTATAGGTGTGTTTTAATGGTTTTGTTCTTGTTGGTTCGAGCTCGTCCATGAGTTGCGTTAGGGAGTGCTAGTTTGTGTCGTAGAGGAATAGGGTCGCACCTAAGGTGGAGAGTTTGTGGGCTGTTGCTTTGCTGTAGATTATGCGTTAGATTGGGGGTTTGGATGTTGGAATGGGGTGCAGTGGCTGACTATACTAACCCAATTCCGCTACCGGCTCCGGTAATGAGGACTGTCTTGTCTTTGAAGCTGGGTTTCGATGCCATTTTTCTCTGGTGCTCATCTAGTGTTGAGGTCGTTCATGGGAGTGGTATGATAGTCGACTAAATGGGCTACTAGATGAGAGACCGGTCAACTAAGATGCCTCACCGACATGTACAGGGATGCTGCATGCTGCAGCCCTTCGTGAGATGTCACTTTTTCTGAGGGGAATATCCTCAGGCATCTCTTCTCTACCAAACATATAAGCCAGTTAATAGGTATACTAGATATCCGGAGAACGGGCGTGTAGCTCAACGGAGAGCGCTTACGGCCCACAAGGCCCGGGTTCGACTCCCGGTGCGTCCGCTTTTTGGTCTTTTTTCTTTTTTAAATCCTCTCTGGTATATGGAGGTGTAGTCTTGACGTTGTTTACTCTACTGAGCTGTTGCCTATTTGGGTGGCTGGTGCGGGTTACAATGATGCCTCAGGCAGTAGTATTGAGTCCTTAACTATGTAACTACATAGTTATCTTCTTTGGTTATGCATGCGGTAACAATTATATGAAGGTCTGCCCGTTATATGCAAATACTCCGCCATTACCGAATAGTTGCCCTCGAGACATCAACCTCCAAGCTCCTCAAAATCAAGTCAACCTCTGCATCTGCCGCTTTAAGTATATGCTCCGGTGGATACTGCGGCTTCCATCCGATCCGATGGCCATGGACCGCCGTAAATGTACACCTGATTATATTAGCATTCGTTCGAGACAATGGAATATAAGATCACATACTTTCCACCCAGCTGCACAGGGACAGCAGACGGCGTTACTTGAAGCGCATCAGCCATTTTCGCGAGGACAGGTCCGTCCGCCTGTTCGACTTTGTCGTCATCCACGATACCGCGCTTTGTGAGGGCTTTGGCGATGGCACTGTAAATGTCGTTCCAAGGTACACTGCCGGAAGCAGCAAGGAAGAAACCATTCTTGTTATGCCCGATGTTGTTACCTAGCAGGATCTGGCGTAAGATCTGCAGGTACAAGGTGGTATTATCGATGATGTGGCAGACAGGCCAAGTCTATGTACATTAACATGTATAACAGGTAGATGGAGTTTGGTGGGCATGCTGACCGGATTATCAAGATCAACCTTGTACACTCGTCGGGCCTTCGTTGCGGCTTTGACGATTGCAACATCCTGGATTGAAGTGCGATTGCCGAATCCTTCCCCTTCACCATAGACAATACACGGAGCGAAGATATAGCTTCGTACTTTGTATTTCTCAGCAGTGTCAATCATAGTGACATTTGTTTTGACAGCCTAATTTTCACGGATTATATCAGTATATTTCATATTCTATTTAGAACTTGAACCATTCCATACCTGAGAAAACCAATTATGCGGGGAAACAGCAGTCTTCTGAACATCATACAGCTTCGGATCAGTATCAAGCAGCGGCTCATCGAAATAAATCCCCGCATGTCGACTAAAGTGCTTCGCTCCTGCGGTATGCAGAAAGTGCACCTCCTCCCCTGTCTGCTTCTTCACCTCCCCCAGTGCCTTGATCAAAACCTTCTGATGCGTGTCCCAATACGCATCAATTAGGAAATAGACCACAGTGATTTTTTTGTCGATAATCGCTCGAGTCAACTGTTCATGATCGCTGATGTTGCAGATCAGCGGCTCCGCGCCGTACTGCTTCACCTTCTGTGCTTGCTCTTCTGCTCGGACGAGGGCGTAGAGGGTGTTGTATGGGGGGAGATTGGCGCTTTTCCAGCGCGCGAGGAGAGTGCCGCCTAGGTAGCCGGAGCCGCCGGTGATTAAGATGCTGTGAGGCATGTTTGCGCTGGATGTCGTATGGTTGGATTTAAGGCGGTATATATACGATTGCGGAATTTGCTATGACCTCAATTGGTCTACACTATATATTATGCATTTGTAAGCACATTCATTTCTAATGTGATGTCGACCAGAAAACTGTCCGGTTCGGGCACATTCATGGTCCGATTGGGATCTTGCACTTTGACATTCTAGAAGCTCGGATTGACCTTTTTGTGACCCCGCCTTGTCACCCCTTAGATCGTAAAAGAAGGTGGAGTTGGTTGCAGGTACAATAAGGTTATCTTGTCTGCATATTTGTACATATCTAGCTTGAAACTTGAATAACAACCTTGCCAAAATGCGATCCACTCTCCAGATACTTCAGCGCATCTTTCGCTTCCTCAAACGAGAAAATCTTACAGATAACAGGATGAATCTCATGTTTCTCAATAAACCTCACCATCTCCTCAAACCGATCCGTAGGCCCAACAATAATACCCTTCAAAGTAAGCACCTTGCTTATGGCAAGTATATTCACATTCGGCTGGTCGCCACCAGCTTGCGTCTTGCCGGAAGTGTACCCAATGCAGTTGATCAGGCCGTTATATGCAGCACAGTTGAAGCTCTTGCTGAGGGTTTCGGAACCGCCGACTTCGAGGATGATGTCTGCACCATGGCCGTTTGTTACTCTCATGACTTCTTTTCCCCAGTCGGGGGTTTTGCGGTAGTTGATAATGAAGTCTGCGCCGAGGTCTTTGGCTTGAGCCAGTTTGTCGTCAGAGGAGGAGGTAATGATCACTTTTTGGTCAGTGAAGAACGGAAATGGGAGAGGACTGTATATATATGCCCACCTTTTGCGCCGGATGCCTTCGCAAGCTGCAACCCAGCAATACTAACCCCTCCCGTACCCTGGAGCAGGATGTATTCATCCTTCCCGCCATTCTGACCAAGCGGACGCATTCCATTAATACCCATCCATGCAGTCACACCCGCGATGGTAAGAGTACTAGCCTTTTGGTCCGACATGTAATCAGGCGCCTTGATCAATGCATGCTCAGGGAAGACCCGATGCGTCGCCAGAACACCGGGCTGTGGCAGACCAAGACCGCTGGCAAGTGCTTGTTCAGTGAGTAGACCAGTTTGGTGGTCTGGGATGAACGTTGAAAGCACGCGGTCTCCGGTTTTCCATTTCGTAACGCCGTTGCCCACGCTTTGAACTACGCCACACATGTCCGAGCAGGGAACAATGGCAGAGCCCTGGTTGATGGATTGGTGATGGGTGTACTCGCCGCGGATCACTGGTCAATGTTAGTATAGATGTTTTCTTTCAAGGTGAGAACAAATGACTTACCTTCCATATCTCGGTAATTCAAGGATACGGCCTTGATCTGCACCAACACCTCTCCCTGCGTGGGAGAGGGCAATGGTGCGTCGACTTTCTTCAGGCCATCAAGACCGTCGAAATGGGAGATATACTGCTGAATTGAAGGTGACATGGTAAGCTTTTTAGTGATATTGTCAAATAGTGGCCAATTGGAATTTCATACTGGAAAAAGGATTCTAGAAGGCTAAATATCGCCTCATGACATATTGTTGGAGGTAGTTGACGATTCCGGGTTTGATTTGTCATCCATCTAAAACACCTCCAACTCCAGGTCTTGCGCTCTTCTGGAGACACTATTGCATTATTAATACAGTATTGAACTTGAGGAAGGAAAAGAAGAAGAAATTCCAATGGTTTTTGTTAATTATGAGTAAAACAAAGTGATAGGGTTGGAGGTGCTTCACCATTGCTGACAATATCATGATGTATATCTTGGCGAATATCTGGAGCTGGTATCTCCGAGTATTGAACTCTGGAATATATAATTGCAGAGAACTTCCATATCGAGACTTCGAGTAGCACATTGTCTTCTATTCTAGACCACTCAACCTACCATCATGACGAAGCTCTTCACACCCCCTCCAAATCGGGAATGTGACGCTCGCTCACCGCATCGTTATGGTCCCATTGACTCGTTTCCGTGCCGATGACAAACACGTCCAGCTACCAATGGCAACCAAGTACTACTGCCAGCGCGCCTCTACCCCCGGAACCCTAATCATCGCGGAATCATCGTTGATTTCTCCGAGCCATGGCAGAGTTCCCAACGCCCCCGGAATGTGGAACGATGAACAGGTCGAGGGATGGAAGAAGGTAGTCGACGCAGTCCATGCTCGATGCTGCTATATCTTCTGTCAACTACTTGCTCCCGACCGTGCTGCCGATGTCACTACATTGCAGAAAGAGGCCGGTCATGGACTTCTATCCTCCAGTCATGTTCCGCTGTCCGATGCTGCAGCAGTCCCGGGGGCCATGACGGCGAGCCAAATTCAGTCTGCTGTTGCGGATTATACCAAGGCTGCTCAGAACGCTATCCGTGCAGGCTTTGATGGCGTCGAAATCCATGGCGGCAACGGGTACCTCTTGGACTAATTCCTCCAAGACACCTGCAACTGTAGAACCGACGAATATGGCGGAAGCCTTGAGAACCGCGCACGATTTGCTATCGAGGCCGCCACTTCAATCGCAAACACCATTGGACTGGAGAAACTTGGCTACCGCATTAGCCCCTGGAGCAGCTTCCAGGGTATGCGCGTGTCCCACCCATTGTCATAATTCTCATATCTAGTTGAAAAGCTCCGGGACTTGAACTGGGATATCTCCATGTAGTAATAGTAGTAGTATTCATACCCTTTCAGCGTGCCATCTCTACTGGCCGCTATGCCGGGGGTTTAGCCAGTCCCTATCCTAAGATGACTAGAGCTACGGTATACGTACGTGCGCGGCGTCGGGCCTGGGCTTGTACGTCCGCCACTGCCTTCCGTTTTAGGAACAGAAAGAGACGCCCGCAACGCCGATACAAAAGAGAGTTGTACAAAAGAAATTCAATCCGGTGGGAGTTGACAGGGCCCAGGCCCGCGTGTGTGTGCGGCCTCGGCCCTGTCATTGTAGGGGGAGGGAGAGGGAGAGGTTGTGGGCTCGGCTGGATGGGCCATGGAAGGAGCTGTGCTGGGAAGTCGTGCTCCTCAGCTCTAGGGTCTGTGAACTGCATTGTCTTCACTCAGTTCTCGTCTTGGCTGGACTCATCTGTTGACAGTTCGTCCTGCTGTATCTGGGCGTTTTGGACTGCTTTAAACTGCCCTAGCAGTCCTGTGCAGAGCATGAAGTCAGCCACCAGAGGTGTGGCAGCAGGGTTTGAGATCATTGCTTTGTAGTCAGACCCCACTTTCAGTGCAGAGTATCACAGCTTGGAGAAGAGCTGTCGTCAATGGTGGTGGAACTGGGGGCAGTGGAGGATGATGTGTTTGGAGTTTAGACCCCTTCATTGCAGGTGCAGCGTGGGAATTCGGCTACGCTGATGCGGTGGAGGAAATGGTTGAGGCCAACTCACTGCATTCATAGTTGGATGAGAATGCTGCTCCATGCCTTCCTCATTCCCTGGAGGGGAGGAGACCCTTCATGGATGGCAGGAGGACCAGGCGCCTTGTGGGTGCTCCTGGAGCGGACAGGGGGCGGGGGTCACACTCCAGGCCCATTCCCAGGCTAGTTGCGCGGTGCGCCGGGCTTCTGCGATATCTCCATGTCATTGAGTCACAGGTGATAGACAACGTGGACATCAAGAAGACAGAGGGTATTGAACTCACCTTGGATATCTGGGGCAAGTGTTCTCCAGTCTTGGTCGCTGGTGGATATACTCCAGAGAATGCCAATTATGCCGTTGACAAGGACTATGTTAATAATGAAGTCACTGTCATGTTTGGTAGACACTTCTTGGCTAATCCTGATCTGCCGTTCTGCATTCAACACGGCATTCCATTGACTAAGTATGACAGGACTAGCTTCTATACCTTGAAGATGACCATTGGGTACATGGACTATCCTTTCAGCCCTGAGTTTCTGGCAAAGCACAATAATTAGCGTTTGTTTGTCTTCATGAATATTTTGTCAATAGATAGGGCTTGAGGTCAGTGTGGACTTGTGAATGAGACGTTTCTCTAGATCAATGTAATCAAACTTGTCATAATAAATAGTAAAGAGCTATGCTGCTTTTCAACATGGCTTATAAAAATTACCTATGCCCTGATAATGAGTGTTATAGTTTCTCAAGTGGTCATTGTTCCATTGAAAGCTTCATCCCGGATCTTCAGTTCCTCAATATACAAGGAAACTGGCAGAAAAACTGACCAATTAAATTATCCAAAGTAATCATTCGAAAAGGATTCTCCAACGAAAATTAGTGCGACATTTACGGCAAATAATTAGGGCAATCTAATCTAATCTAATCAAAGGCGGAAACGACTACTTGGCCTCAACTCCGCCTTTTTTGTTTCGCTGACACTCCTCCCTTCCTTAGAGCTCTGGCTCCATCGCTCTTTCTGTGTAAATCATATTTACGCTCTTTTATTGTGAACTTCGATTCATGTCTTGATCGCGATCCGACATTCGCTTACCTGCGGTACTGATTCGGGATGAACGGGTTCTCGGCGCACGGCCTGGGCGACGATGCGTTCGGGGAGAAGTCGGACTTGAAGGGGAGCCTGAGGACGTTTGATGCATTTCGTATGTCTTTCTATGATTTTTAAATCGCGTGATGCGATTCAATTGACCCAGACTAATGGCACCAGCCAAAACAAAATCCTCCTATACAGCCCCCTCCCGCCGCGGCGGCCAATGGACCGTCCTAATCCTCGCCATCTGCACCGTCCTCTCCTTCTCCGAACTGCGCGCCTGGTTCAAAGGCACTGAAAACCACCACTTTAGCGTCGAAAAGGGCGTCTCGCACGAACTCCAGCTCAACCTCGACATGGTCGTCAAAATGCCCTGCGACACGCTGCGCGTGAACATTCAGGACGCGGCGGGCGACCGTATTCTCGCTGGCGAGTTACTCAAGAGGGAAGATACGAGCTGGAAACTGTGGATGGATAAGCGGAATGGTGGAACGGGTATTTATCAGACGTTAAGTCAGGAGGATAATGACCGATTGGAGGCGCAGGAGGAGGATGCGCATGTGCACCATGTGCTGGGGGAGGTGAGGAGGAATCCGCGGAAGAAGTTTGCGAAGGGTCCGTGGATGCGGTGGGGTGAAAAGCCCGATTCGTGTCGGATTTATGGGAGTTTGGAGGGGAATAAGGTGCAGGGGGATTTCCATATCACGGCCCGGGGGCATGGGTATCAGGAGTTTGCGCCGCATTTGGATCACGGCAGTACGTCTACCCCCATCACTTGTTCTTGTCTTTACATCTGACTGACTGGCGTAGCCTTCAACTTCACGCACATGATCACCGAACTCTCCTTCGGCCCTCACTACCCAACCATCCTCAACCCCCTCGACAAAACCATCGCCTCCACCGAATCCCACTACTACAAATACCAATACTTCCTCTCCGTCGTCCCAACCATCTACTCCAAGGGTGCCCGCGCCGTCGACAGCATCCTCAGAAGCAACCCCTCCTCCCGCAGTAACAAGAACCTCATCTTCACGAACCAATATGGAGCAACCAGTCAGTCCGATGCTATTCCCGAGAACCCGTTCTACGTGCCTGGGATCTACTTCAAGTATAACATTGAGCCGATTCTGTTGATGATCAGTGAGGAGAGGAGTAGCTTTTTGTCGTTGTTGATTAGGTTGGTCAATACGGTTTCGGGAGTTATGGTTACTGGAGGGTGGGTGTATCAGCTTTCGGGGTGGGTTATTCAATTGGCTAGGAAGAGGCGGAGTGGTGTGTCGGAGGGTGTGTTGACGGGGAAGCATGGGGAGGAGTAGTTTGTTCTTCTGGTTTCGGGCATTTTTTTCATTGAAGATTGAGATTCATACAATCGCATTTTAAGGATATATCTGTACGCCGTTCGTACCCCACTGATCAATCCGTACCAGCATATAATGCATAATCAAAGAAACACAAGACCACCGAAACAAAGGCTAAATGACAAAAATCTCACCCATACCAACACCCGCACCCTCAGCCCCAGCCCTACTATCCACCAAATCCAATCTCCACCCCTTCCAATCATTGAGCTTCGACTTGATCTCCCTCGCCCATTCCACGCGCTTCCTCCCCTCTTCTTCAGCTTGCGCGTGCGCGAATGCGTCCTCGTCGAAATCGTCGATATTCTCTTCCGAGAGGAGTTCCAGACTTCCTCGTGTAGCAGGGGGATAGACCTGGTTCTGATTACTGGTGCTCGAGGATGCACGGCCACGGTTGTTTCCGCCGCCAGTAAACGCAGCGAGACCGCTTGAAAGGACAGTGGAGAAAGAGGAGTGGCGCTGTTGCTGTTGTTGGGCGATGCTGCGCCGTCGAGCGTGGTCCGGAGCACCACCAACCAAATCAACATCGTCGAAGGCATTGGCGTCTGACTCGTTGGGTGGGGTCAGGCCGTATTGATCTGCTTCGAGTTCTTGCCGTCTCTCCTTCCAGACACCGCGACGGAGCTCGAAGACCTCGCCTTCGAGCTCGCGAATGCGGCGCTCCAGATGGGCACGGCCTTCGTTCTCGAGTTCATCTAGGGCTTCGTCGTCGGCTCCGCCGCTGGAGTCGCGTTTGCTGCTAGACTCTTGTTGTTCTTTTAGGCGAAGGTTGAGAGACTCTTGCTCTTCCTTCAAGCGGAGGTTTTCGTTTTCGACGCTGGCTAATTTCTTTTTCAGAACGGCTGCTTCTTTCTCGGTCTTCTCGCCCTCTTGAAGGCGGGTCTGGTGCCGCGATTCAGACTCTCTGTGGAGGTTTCCGAGTGCTTCAAGTTTCTTCTCAAGTGTCTCGTTCTTCTTCTCTGCTTCAATCTTTTCTTGCTTCAATTGTTCAATCTCCCGCTCCAAGTTCTTGATCAGGGTCTCTGTAGATGTCTTCTCGACACCTTCCTTGACTGCCTTTTCAGAAGCCCGAGTGAGAGCTTGCTTAGTGTCGGCAAGTTCGCGCTGTGTTTCCTCAAGAGCCGATTCGCTAGTTGAGACCCTTTGCTCTAATGCGTTGATTTGGGTCTCGTTGGCACGAAGGTTGGAAATTTCCAACTCCATCGCTTCGATCGTGGCAGACTTTGATTCTAGTTGTTGTACTAGGTCGGATGGTGGAGACTCAGGTGCATTGTTGCGATGGGACTTTGACTGCAGATGTGAGTTCTGTCGTTGAAGAGAAGCAATTTCCTCTTTCTGTGCGTACGTCAATATATGAGCCTGTAGGGAATCGCGAAGAACTCACCAATACATCAATCTCTGCGACCTTTTGCTCCGCGTTCTCCAACTTATCCTTCAATTCCGCCATATCAGCAGTAGTTTCTTGGAGGTCTTCCAGCTGCTCCTCAGTCTTCCGCCACCGCCCAGTGGCTTCCTCAAGCTCTTTCTCTAGCCGCTTGTTATCCTTCTCCAGCTCCCCAATCTGTGTAGACTGTTTCCGGTAAACCTCCTGAACCGAATCCCCATCAGCGTTCAAGGGAGGTAACGACGGCGACCTCATCGTAGACGGAGAAGGGGAAACACTGCCCTGAGAGACGGAGGTTTTGCGGAATGATGAAGACCGCATCTTCGACTGAATTGATAGTGATGGCTGGCGGCCATGAGGACGCGGGGCGTCTAGTCTTGAAGAGTCGATTTCTGACGGGAGGGCCGTGGGGGCTTCGGGCATAGGTTCGGTTGGGGATCCTTCGCGTTCGGAAGGTTGCTCCGGCTCAGTGGGTTTCTCTTCCTCCTTCTGTTCTTCTCCTCCCTCCTCTGGCTTCTTCTCTGCGGGTTCGGGGGTGGCAGCTGCTTCATCTTGCTTCTCTTCCGGTGCGGGCATTTCCTCCGCAGGAGTGGCCGAGTCTTTGGGGGATTCCGAGTCCTTGGGAGCGTCTGGACCGGCGGACTTCTTGTTGGCTTTCTTCTTTTGTTTCTGCAATTGGGCCACCTGTTCGGAAAGCGTGGATTAGTATAATGTTAACCATCTCCGCATTATAAGCGGGTTTTAGACCGGAGTGCGTAATGCTTACCCTCTTTTTGGCGGCGGCTAGCTTCTCAGCCTTGACGCGCTCTTCTTCGTCAGCCATGATGCAGTACAGGCCGTGGTATAGAGCCAGTTAAAGGGAACCGTTTGTCTGTATTACGGAGGTAGGAGGTACTTGTAGTAGTTGCTATTTTACGTCGTGACACTAGAGCGGCGAGGTATTCACGCACGGACCACGTGACAACATCCGAATATCGGGCAGAACAAAGCGGTATGCTCACCGCCCTTGCTGTAAACACAACCCCACGCATTTCTACTTACGGAGTACTAACCCTCCATATCTACATAGGATGCCGCTTCAAAACCTCCCGGTTGAGATCATTTGCAAAATCCTTCACGTCGTAGGAAGCTATGAACTCAGAAAACAAAAGACTGTCTGCAAGTGGTGGTATACACTTGCAGAACCTATTCTACTGGAGACTGTTATCCTCACTGCCACTCGGCTTACACAAATGACTGAGCAAAGGCATGCAAAACTCAGGGTCTGGGTAAAGTCGCTCATAGTTGATATGTGTCGCTTCGAACACTGGCCTGGTGAGAAGGGCAATGGGGCATTAGATGATATTCTGATGCTTCAATACTGTCGCCTTTCATCCTTCAGTTTCCGAGCACATATTGAACATGCAGGAGTGCCTCTAGCCCCTCGCATTAATTACCTCTCGAAGTGGTCTCCGGCTAGATTTTTAGATGCTCCTTGGCTTTCCAAGCTCTCAGGGCTGGAGATCGACACCTGCGGCTCTGAATTCAAGAACGGAATACATGTCTGTCCTAAGCTGGCGCTCAAGATTCCCCGTCTGCAATATGTACGGCTGCGAATGCTCAGAGTCTGTCCTGAGATCTTTGACCTGCAGTACCAAGATAGTGCCCGGCCCTCAAAAATCAAAAGTATCATCATCAAAGTCAGCTTCAAGGAAATGGACCGATTCACTGCAGGATTTAGCACCCATTGCACCGAGTCAAAGGGGGGAAGGGTACTATACAATGACATGGTCAGGACAGCTACCGAGATGGCTAAGCAAACACAGAGCCTTAAAGTGCTGAATATCTTGATCCACAATTTCCCTAAAGAGATGGTGGTTAAGGATTGCATCGCTGGGACCAAGATGCTTATTTCTGACGAACGCGATTGGGACTGGTCCGATAAGGGTTGGGAGTGTCCAGACAACGAGGTTCTAGCCAGGGATTTGAGTGATAGTGATATAGAAGGGCATGCTCTTTGATCTTCGAGCTACCAAGAGACAGAGTGCGTATTGGATGTCTGAATAGTGAACAAGTCCCTTTTCGCCATGATAGTGGTCAAGAGTCATGGTAACCGACCGGATGACTTCTTGTTTTGAAGCATCCTCATCATTCATTTCCTCGGTACTGGCTTGCCTATTCCTGCTTAGTTTCTATCTCCGTGGTCGTCGATATAAGGGTCGCCGCCGGCCAAGACTGAGAACCCCAGACCGTAGCAATTTCTAATGCAGAATACAGAGTAAAATCCTTAACTTAATTTTCAATGAGAATAATTGTAAAGAATGCCAGTGTAAGCATCTGACAGCGACAGTAGTGTTGCTGACCGCAGCGGGGCCACCAAACAGAGGCCCGCAAATAATTTCTTCGGAGAGCCTCAGCGATTTCGTAGCTGTCCACAACAACCCCGTCGGAGCCCCTCTACCCTTTTCTCGTCAATTCTCACCAACCAACACAAAACACTATGGCTATCCAGTGAGAAACCACTTCCATCTACTATGCGAACCTACGAATATATACTGACGAGCCCAATCTTGCCAGTTACTTGATTCTCCTGTCGAGACAGGGCAAAGTGGTTAGTCTCGTGGCCCACCCACCTGTCGGATTCTGCTGGAGAAGCTCTTTTGGACTAACAGCAAACTCTTCCTTTACAGCGTCTTGCCAAATGGTTTACCACTCTGTCCCCGAAGGAAAAGGCCAAGATCATCAAGGATGTGACCCAGCTTGTGCTCTCGCGCCGGACGCGGATGTGCAACTTCCTTGAGTACAAAGGTATATCACGGCCACTTTCTCAGTCTTTGAAATCACCTCTAACCACTGGTTTGTTTCTTGTGCAGACTCCAAGGTCGTCTACCGTCGTTATGCCTCCCTCTTCTTCATCGCCGGATGCGGCTCGACCGACAACGAGTTGATCACCCTCGAGACCGTTCACCGATACGTCGAACAAATGGACAAGTACTACGGCAACGTCTGCGAGCTCGATATCATCTTCAACTTCCAAAAGGCATATTTTATTTTGGACGAACTCCTGCTGGCGGGAGAGATGCAGGAAAGCAGCAAGAAGAATGTTCTGCGGTGCATAAGTCAACAGGACAGCTTGGAAGACATGGAGGTGAGTTCGTCGCCTTGATGTTATGTCCCTCGTTGCCCGCACATGCACGAGGACAAACTGGCAAAGTACCTGTCAGACCTGCCTTGCAGCTTGAGTGTTTTTTTGGCCTGTCCGTCCAGTGTTCTCGTTCTCCCCCTGACCTGGCCTCATCCCCGATACTCCCCTGCTGCTACCCCAATACCTACAGCCACACGTCCCCCTCTCCCCCATAACACCTATTCCACTGCCAATCTGCCCGCCGGAGCATACGTGTCAACATGAGCTAATACCACTGGTCCCTCAGGTTGAGGAGGACGTGGTTACGAAGATCATGTAGAGGCTTTTGATTGTTCATATTCAGCGGCTTCTGTGTTTTGCGCTTGTTTGATTTGATTTCTGTTTCCGGTTTGCAGACTGTATACTGCCATTGGGGCACGGGCTACATAGGCGTTGTCTTCTACTTCTACTACTATTTGTGATTTCAGACTAATTAATACGACATTGACTACCAACTCAGGATCCCGAGGAAGTGATCGCCAACCTTTCCAAAGCCGGATTCTAAACACAGCCGGACCCAAGATTGAGAGAAAGCCCAAAAGGCCGTGATATCTCCCCTTTCCGGACCGTGAAGTCGGCGCATGATATCACTGGCTGAGCGCGGCGCCACGTGACCGACACCCCCTCGGCCGCAACGCGCAACCATTCAGTCAGTCTATCCATCAAGTACCTGCCATATCTCTCATCTTTCTGAGCATCTCATCTTCATTCACCATTCTTGTTCATCTGTGATGGGTGTCTTTGCAGAAACCAACTGTTAGGCACCTTTGTTTACCCCCATCCCTGTAACTTGCCCCATACCCCGGTCGCCCCGATCGGCTACGTTTCAAGTGGACAACAAACCGCCAGCTTGACCGACTATTTACATAGTACGAAGGATCGCTCTGTTATATCGATTGAAAATCTTCCGCTATCTCGATTCTGCCTTTGTTCCTTTGACGGCAGAACGCGTCTGTTTTAGATTCTCACTGAGGATCTGCTTATCTGACATCATCACACCTGTTATCAGCATTTGCGACATTGACCGCAACTCTCAACGATGAAGGTACGGACATTGCGCATGAAATATATATGCTTGCCTGTGGCGCTAACACACTGCTTGTATAGTACATCCCTCTTCCCGAGTTTGAGGACATCACAAGTTCCCTCACCTTCGATACCGCGGACTGCAATATAACCGGAGGATGCGATCTTTACATAACGAAGGCTGCTCGAGCCGATCGCAAACTATACAGGAACATTGAACAGTCCCTCGAAGCACAATACGAATCCGTTCTCCGTCTCTCCGCCTCTCTGTCTCCTCCTCACGCATCGGACGCCGCGTCTTCTCTTAACCTCTCCCGCTCCAGTCCGTTCGGCCCGCTTAGCGACCATGGGAGCCGCAGGACATTTGCCTACCTGATCGCAACCCTCAACGCGAGCCATCCCGATTATGACTTTTCTCATGTTCTGCGCCCATCAGATTTCCATCGGGAGCGGAATTTGAAGAAAGTCATGAACACGATCGACACTACTCTGTTCAACCTGCGCCCGCGTGAGAACATGGATCTGACGCCTCCATCGCCAGCTACGTTATCTGGATCATACAGCACGAGTGCCCCTTCTACATGGGGGCCAAGGATGTGGAGGATTATCGACGAGCACATGTCGCTGAAGGAGTGCTCGATTTACACCTACACCCCCGAGGAGGACCCATCGGGCGCAGATGACGGAGCGATCTGGAGTCTCCACTACTTCTTCTTTAACCCGCTCCGGAAGCGCGTGTGTTATCTCTATTTCCGTGCAATCCCTATCTTGAGCCACACGCCCACCGACACCGAAGGCTTTGTTGCTACCCCAACGGGCAAACGCACATTCGAGGATGGCTACCTGACGCCAGACCTGAGTTCCAGCAAGCGGGCTCGCTACTGGTTGGGCGACGTTGCCGATATGGTTGGGCACACAAGTGACAGTGACTACGACCAGTACGTCCTTAGCGACGAGGAATCCCGTTCAAGGTCCAGGAAGGGTGTGGTCCGGGCAATGAGTGAAGAGATTGCCGATTCGATGGAAGTCTGAGCACGTTTCCTTACTATAATTAGCTATTCTTTGTTGTTGACTCTTTCCACTTACTTTTCGTCGTTTTGTTGTTGGGCTCTGCTGTTATGTTGGTTCGTGGCGTTCACTGATTGATTCGTGCATTCAACCTGCATCTTGAGAGTTCCGGGGCGTTGGCAGAGGTCTTATCGTGCCCCCTATATTGTTTTGTTCTTCTTTTTTCTTGTTGATACGCATTGATGCCCCTGTTATATTGTTATTTTCTAATGCCTTGATGAGGATGCGCTGTGTATACGAGGACACGGCGTGGCGTACGAGGGAACGTGCTGGCGACGTTGACGATGCTTTCGATTCTGTGTAACTTTTTACTCTTTGATTTTGATATCAATCACTATTCTACTCCTCATATCTTCGTAACTGCATTGTCAGGTCAACCTACGTGCTTGTATACATGATGTCAATGTATGACACGCATCCTTGTCGGTCTTTCTTTTTTGTCGTCTAGTCTTGTAGAAAATCTTTGCCAGTATCCAACAACAGTCATAGCTTCCTCGGGTGTTACTGCCATAGAATGAAATGACCCTAATATCAAACTACCTATCCTCTCTCTGTTCTCGTCTCTATTTCCTACATCCTAATCCTCCTCGAATGACCACAATACCCCTGTACACTACACCATCAAGCATATGCGTCTCGATCCTGTCCATGAGCGAGGCGTCTATATACGAATGGGATAGAGACAAACTGGACAAGTCATTCACTTTGAGGCTGGTTTCCTGACTCGGAAGAGTTGCTGTGGAAATTGGCCTTCAGAAGGGTGATATATGCTGTATAGAGAGTTGATTGAACGATGAATGGTGTCACACTGTCTGGCAGTATGCATATAATACAGACTATTTATTACTGCATATCCGGGGTGAGTCACTTTCCTTGTCTATAAATTCCTTTGAACCGCCCACCTTCCTTTTTGTGCTTGATTTCCCAGGCTTTTATCAAACATGGCTCCTGTCAACCAGAATTGGACTTCCTTCCAAGACATCGACCCTGAAAGTGACCATGCAAGAAGAATACGAACAGTCCTTCAAAAAGCAAATTTCAATTACCTCTCCTTCAAAGTCGTAGAGATCCGTAAACAAGAGGAACCGCAGCTCCGGGACACACCGACCTGCTTTGCCGATACCACGAAATTCACATCTGGATATTGTAATCTGGTGGTTGCATTGACCTTTTCGGATTCGGTTCAATGGGTTGCGAGGATCAGGTTACCCCAGGATCCTCTTGAAGACCCAGATATGTCTATTTCGATGTTGAGTGAGACATCCACCATGAACGTGATCCGCGCCAAAACATCAATCCCCGTCCCTCGTGTTTTCGGGTACTCCGAGAACATGAAAGATGACTTCGGGTACCCCTATGTCTTGATGGAAGCCCTTCCCGGAAACATCTTAGACAGAGGCATGGCTCTCTCAATACCCGATGCTCACGAGGGGAAGTTCACAGCTCAGCTAGCAGCCTCCATCCACGAACTGAGTACAATCCGCAGCAACCAGATCGGCCGCATCTTATACACGACTGATCCTGACCAGCTTGAAGTGTTGCCATTTCCCATCATGTGCTATCAGTCTCCCATCGGTCCCCTATCCACATCGCTGGATTATTTCTATCGCCTTCGCAAAGATCAAACAAAGGCGATTCTCAACGGCCATAGAGACTTTCTCCATCAAGCCGGCGAGAAAGAGTAGGGAGCGGTTGCTTGGTTTCTAGAGAAGTCGTTAGTCTCGATAGTCACTGAGGAATATATTAACGGGCCATTTCCATTGTGCCATATGGAATTTTCATCATGGGAATGTACTCTTTGATGATAAGTACAATACCACAGGCATCCTGGACTGGAGTAACGCGCAAAATGTTCATATTGAGCGGTTTGCCATGATCCCTGAATTCATAGTTCCCCGGGCAGCTGAAGAGACAGCCAAGAAGGCAATAGTTGAGTTCCGGGATATGTTTATTGCTGCGTTGGAGAAGATTGAAAGGGCAGCGACGGAAACAGAAAAAGAAAAAGAAAAAAAAGGGACGCCGTTGCACTGTCTCTCTTCGCATCGCTACGGTCCGAGCTTGTCTGTCGATGCACTTATCGTTATCCGTGGAGAGCTATTTTTGATGCCCAGTTTGTTCTTCCTCTTCTGTACGGTGAGGATGCTAGGTGGGAGGATTTTCAGAAGTATCATGATGGTTGTTGTGCGTAGTTTACTGTGGGGATTGGTATTCGGAAGGATGTCTGTGTCCTTGTTTACTCTTCTTCCACAATAGGGGAATAGGATTGTTAGTTCCACTAAGCCTCAAAATAGAGAGCTGCTGTAGGGCAGGGACTTTATCAACAGGGTCAGAATCCAGACACCAACATCATCAAATACAAGCCTTGCCGATTAATAGTGAATGCAATCAGCGTCACAGATGATCCAAATTTCCAACAACAAACTCAATACCAATGCCCAATTCGTAAAATTGGATGGTGTGAAGATTCAATCAACGTCGTTAGTGGCTAACCTTGGAATGGTCATGATGCAGAGAAACGACACATCACGAAAAGTTCAGTTTGGCATCTGATTGTTTAGGTTGGAGCATCGCCAAAGTGACTTGTGCTTGAAATCCCAGCACTCTGGGAAACCTAGAAATGCAAGCTGAAACGGAGATTTAGGACGACCAATACCGGTAGTACATCTCATAGACGTTGAACATTGTGATTTAGGAAACGTCCTTTCTCGATGCTCTTCTGTATGGACATCCGACAGGATACATCTCCTCGAGGGCCTTCAGCGTGCCGAACACCAATATCGTTTGCGATGGCGAGTATAGCGGAACTGCAAGTAAAATCTAAACACTAATTCAATCTCCTAAGACAAGGCTCACTTGAAATTCACGATGGCAAAGCTTTACCAGTCAAAGCCGGTCATCGACCGAGATCCAACGTTGGTCTCGCGAAAAGCATAACATGCGCTTACTTACGACTAAGGTAACGCGTATTTCGAAAAATCAGACTCGAAAAGCCCTGTCCGTACCTGACAATCAAGGGGAAGAACCGGACCGATGCAAGTCGTGGATGGTGGTGATTCAGGATGATTCGGACATTGAAGGTATGCGATTACCTGAAAGAGACGGATACACCCATGTCCAAGACAGCACCGGATCCCACGGGGAGCTTTTTAAGTGGAAATAACAGAGTCAGGCTATTGCGGGTCTTGAATAAGCTTTGGCTGAGGATGCGATGTTGTAGCTCTTGTCCGTGACGACATGGAGGCTTCAGAGCGGATGGCGACGGAAGCATTCAACCCGGCCGAATAGAGAATATTCAGAAGATATTCTAGATTAGATGACTGAGACTATGCACATAGGGATGCATTAACACTGCAAAGAATGTGAAGCAATACGAGATCTACCCCTCCATACTGATCAGCAAGTATGCCGATCCGACAGCGATTGAACTCTCGGAGCAGAATCCTTTGATACCCACGTTCCCAATTCGTCAAGACTCGATTCTTTGCTCGAAAAGTAAGCCAATGGTGATTTCATCCAGAGCCAGCATCGTCTGCCAGTCGACACATGACGTAGCAGAGTTTGCATATCGTCATCGTCGCATCGCCGGGCATTCCGAACATAAAAAGTCGCCCTGTCTTCCCAATGCCTAGATCACTTCGATCGGATTGAACCTCCGCTGAGCTGTCTGCTATTTCATTGTAATCCTCTCGTTGCCCTCTTTTACTTCTTTTCACATCTCAGAAAGACAGCGTGACAGCAAAGAGAATCATCATGGCCATTGGAGGAATTCAGATGGGCCTTCGGGCCTGGCAGGTATGCTCACTTAACTTCTCAATCTCGTATGCAAAACTAATACACGGCAGTTCATATGGACTCTGCTGGTCATGGCCCTCATCGGTAACATGATCAACCAGGCCTTCTCCGGCAACCCCGCGACAGTAAACTACGCCATGTTCACCTCTGCATTCTCCATGTTCACCCTTTTCTACCTCGTCCCGGCATCCTTCAACACGGACTGGTCGGGCCACCCCATCATCCTGATCGTCCTGGACACCCTCAACGCCATTTTCTTCCTTACCTCTGGTATCGCCTTGGCTGCCAGACTGGAGTGCCACGACTGTTCCAACGATGTACGTTTCCCACCACATAAATTCACAAATGAAAATGTGATACTAATCTTGCAGGAATACACCCTCAACAACGAAGTCACCAACGGCGCCGAAGGCCGCACGAAGCGTTGCCGCGAGGCTCAGGCTTCCGTGGCATTCCTCTGGTTTGCCTGGGCTGGGTATACCGCCTCTATGATCCTTTCTTTCATCCAGTGGCGCCAGTCTGGTGGTTCTCGCCAGCGTCCCCGTACTGGTCCTTCTCGTCCCAGCCGTCCCAGCATGGCCCAGGTCTAGGTTTGTTTTCTCGAGGGATGTGAAAAGTGGAGAGTTGGGGCTAATATGGATGTGCAGATCGATGTGCGACAAAGCGTCTAGTCGATGTTGGGTGAAACGTGAAAAAGGAAAACGGTCGAAACGAACGCTATGATTCTCGAGAAAACAAGGACAAGGACAACGACCGCCATTGGACGTCTAATGCATAATGAATACCTCGATATCGACGATAATCTTCACGGGACGATTAGCACTACTTAATCTGGCGTATATGCCTATATCAACTAATAAAATATCTTGGGGGGAGGGGATGAAGTTAGTGGTGGAATGGTTGGATAGGTGGAAATGGGATCTAAAATAATACCTTTTGTTTAATGCCTATGGTGTACGGAGCAGACTTGATTTAATGTGTTTGTACTTGTATTCTGGGTACTTGATTAATTTAATTCTTTCGTCAGGAATGCACATGTCTATCTCTAGTCCTGATCGTAGTCTATACTTTACATGCAATCATGCCATTAATTATATACAGGATGACCTTAGGGCCAAACAATCCCTAGCCATCCAATCTCTATACCTTAAACTCACTCTGAACAGACCCATACCCCTGAGCACACACCCTCCCCAACGCATTACTCCCACTCCGCATATAACAAATCTTCGCCAACTGACACTCTTCACTGTCACACGCCGGACTCTTAACACTCCTCTTCCCCTGCAGCTCATTAAACCAGCTTACGAGACTCAAGTCCTTCTCCATGCCTTCTGTCACGCGATGCCAAAACGTCGCGTTCAGGGGTGCATTTGCGTCCCAGTTCGCGGCGGGGCCGTAGGTCTCACGGGTTGAGTATTCGAGGCGGAAGGTTGGTCCTGTTGTGTGCAGGGAGGTGTATTCGGAGACGTTACTGAAGAAGGTGTAGGCATTGTAAACGTTGAAGTCGCCGGTGTCTACTTCGTAGAGGCGGAAGGCGCTGTTTAGGTTTGTGAGGGGTGTGATGCTTGGTCCGATCCAGCCGGTTGTTAGTGCTGTTTGGCTGTTTTGAATGGTGCCGTTGTTGGCGTAGTAGACCATGAATTCGTCCTCGTGGTTGTGGCCGAAGAAGACATTTGCAATGACGTGTGGTGAGTAGCGGTCGATGATTTGGTAGAAGAGGTTGCTTGGGTTGGGGAAGGCGTTGCCGCCATCCCAGCCGCTGGGGACGTGACCTACTACCCAAACGCGCTCGTTGTTGTCTTCTGCGTGTTGGAGTTCGGTGATCATCCAGGCGAAAACGCCAGAATTGTCGGGGTTGGTTGTGTTGATGAAGTTTAGGTAGTTACTTTTGTACCAGAAGTCTGTGCCGTTAGTATTGAATTGAGATGTATAAAGTGGGTTTGCTTACCAGAGTTGAATGCAATGATGCGAAGACCATAGTGCGTCTTGATGGAATAACCGCCGTACTGTGTCCGTGCTTCTTCTGCTGCCTTTGCGTCGATCCATCCTTCATGTTGCCATAATCCTGCAACATGCTCGAAGTTCCAACTCTGTTGCTCTCCAAGACGTCCCGGGAGACTGTGCGGTGAGTCAATATTGGACGGAGCGGTGTCGTGGTTCCCCAAGACTGGGAAGACGGGTCCCGCAAGGTACTTTTTCAACATGTCGAAGATGCTGGTCTCTGTGTACTCGACGTATTTCTGGGACAACTGGTTCTCGGGCTCGTGGGAGACCAGGTCACCCGTATATAATGTCCAAGCGAGAGAGCTGCCATTCGTCGTTCCGGTCAAAGGGCCAATTGATTCCAAAGCCGCCAGCGCCAGGTCGTATGGTGTGTCGCACTTGTATGCGCCATATGCGGACGCGGGCAAGAGAACTTGATCCTCGAATTGAGCGTTGTATTCATTCTCACGACAGCACATTCCGGACGAACAGTTCGCTTCGGCGCCCACCGCATACCGTGGATCCAAGTGGATATCCGACAGGTGCAACACCTTGACTCGTTCGCCGCTGGGCTTGGGCACACTCGCATTCGCTGGCTTAGGCTTGGGAAAGAGATTCGTCGTATCCAGTGGACTAGCCTTTGGTTTCTCGCAGGAAGAGGGGCTGAAAAAGTTACAGATATAGTCGCCATCGAGCCCCTCGACATCTGCATACGCCAGCACCTGCGTCCAGGTAGCTCCAAAGATCGACGCAGCAAAATTACTCTCACAGCTATCATTCGACTTGAACTGGTATTCTTGACATAGTGAAACCATAGCATCTGGTACCCAATTCGGCGCATATAGAGCGGCCGGCTTGGCTGCTGCCAAGGCATTTTTGCATTTGGCGCAGTTGTCCTCTGTGGCGTCTGACTGAAGAATTTTCGGGACATTGACCTTTATTTCGTCAACTAACGCAAGCTTCTGAGTATAAGACAAGTTCTTGAGTGGCTCTGGGAAATAGATTGGATCCGACTTGTCGTCTGGTATCGTATCTGGATGTGTAAGGTTGTGAGGAAATGTGATGTTCAGAACAGGATCATGGATCATTGGTTGGGGTTGCCGAGTTGGCTTTGCAGGTGAATAATAGTATGCCCTGGATTCAGTTAGTTATACAGTTCGTTAATGGCTTGAAATACTTACGAAAAAGCAGAGGTCGGGAATCCAGCCGACGCGACGAAAGAAGATACACCCGGAAGGGATAACGGTACATTAGAGACTGGAGTCGGAAGTGACCAGGAAGCAGCCATGGCGGTTTGTGGCTTCATAATAGACAGGGGAGTTCAATTCTCTTCTGGCGTTGAATCTTTCCCTGCTGCGGTTGATATACCGATTCGGAAGGAGGTGGGTCAACAACCGTGATAAGAGCAATAACTGGTGAACACAGGGCGCATGAGGGTTGGATATATACCAATTGCACTCCTCTTATCGATACAGTCGTCTATTTAATATTCAATGGGAGTGGCTGTCAATTTAGAGCTCTGAGTCTGACAGATATTCTCCTGGCTGCCGATCACGGGATTTCCCGATCAGGAGAGTGGCGCACGTGCTCTTAATATAAGCATTGAATGGATATCGTTGCTTCTTCCGGGATTTTCAGGGGTACATTTTATCTTTTTTCTTCAAGTTTAATCAGGATGTTACCCTGGGGTAGTTATGTGTCTTTTGAAAACAAATGGATATGTAACTATATTTTCGCAAGGTTACACTTGGCCCTGAAAACCCCGCGGGATATATATATTTATCCCGAACCCTAGTATTCCGGCCGCCACGATTCGCTCTCCTAACGCGATCCGATGTACTACCGAGTTGGCATAGCGATAGTGATTCCGATACCAGCGCTTCTCTGCCCATTGCGCCAGAGGGAGGACCAGAGACCGGCCTTTGCGACTTACAATATCGCTGGCCACAGGGTACGGAGAGCGGCCATTGGTTATACTTCCTCTTTTCGCGATGATCTCAGTTACCACTCAAGAAGAATTGAGAAAGACCCAGGTTTTAGAACCGAGATGTATAGTCGCCATTTCACCGTAGTCTCTGAGGGCTAGTTGCTGATTCCATGCCAGAACAAAGTAAGAAGAAAATTGATTTTCAATACTTACGAACTTATGATCCACATCATCTCGAGCTTGCCCCCAGCTGGAGTAAGTTCCCTATAATAGGATACCCCGAGGGTCCAGGGGGGAAGCGATACTTTCTCCGATTTTTGCCTCGTTTCTTGTGCGGTGGCTTAATTTGTTCGCGTAGCCAGAAAAGAACAATGAAGACAATCAACAACCGGAGACCGATAATGGAAATTCGTGGATAACCTTCGTTGACGCGTTCCCACGCATCGGACAAGGATTCAATAGCGGTGGATGCCATGCTATGGACTTGAAATAAGCAAATGCTAAAGAAAAAGGGGATGCTCATCTTGATGTCTTTTATGTAGAATGAGTGAAAATGTATGCCAGTGTGGATGGTTTCGGGATGCCATCCGACATCGCCGGGATGGTCCCGTAGGAAGAACAATAGACCGGAAACGTAGCGAACAGAATCGCATGCAAACTTTGGATAGAATTTGAATATTGAAAGCTATCTTAGTAATGATATTTTTACAGTCAGAATTGGGAGCGTTTCATATGTTTCTAAGTTGCATATAATCATTTTGCCCTGATACCTCTTCCACTAAACTCTTGCTTATTCCAAAGTCACCAATCTTCACCCATACCGGATCCATTCTCACCACTAGTATATTCTATCCATGACAAGTTAGACATAATTCAGACCTTCACTGGAGAGCGTACCTGAGGCTTGATATCTCGGTGGGTGATCCCATCTCGTGCAACTTGCCTAGCCCCTCCAGCAATTTCTCACACATATCTCGAGCCATTACCTCGGAAACAGGAGTTTCAAAGCATTGGGAAACGTCGCCGAGTGGACAATACTCCATCGCGAAAGAAACATAATCCTGGGTCAGGAACCATCCGAAGAACTGGACAAAGAAGGCTTTTTTCTACATAGCAATCATGAGTATCGGTAATGAGCTGAAAAATAACAATTCTCTTTGATAGTCCGATCATACCTCTGTGACTTGTCTCATGACCTGAAGCTCCCTCAGGTTCATGGCCTAGTGCTCACTCTGGTCGCTCTTGAAATCTCTCCAATGCACCTGCTTGATGGCCCGCAGTTCGCCAAATTGAGACTCTTCCAGATATACATGTTGAGCAAGGGCATGTCTCCGTTCCCATATCTTCGTGACGGTTCCATGCTCCCGCCATCGGCCCTCGGTGGGCGCGCGGAGAATTTCGTGATTTCGGTCACCCAGGACGGACACGTTCAGTTTGTATCGCTGCACTATATCCTCGTCTTCCATTTCGTAAAACAATGGAGAGAAGAAATTCTAGATAATAGTTGAGTAACTCCGTCAATGGAAAAGAGGTACTTTCTACAGAATACAGCCTCATTGATCGGGTGACTAACTGCAGGCCAAGCTCAGCCTCGTCGAACCGCGTCAACAACACGCTGTTCCTACTCCCAAAATCGCTCTTGTTGAAGCTGTATTAAAAAATGTGTTTATCTTCTGGTATATCCCGTATAATTCATCACCGTGGATCCTGGAAGCTTGGGGCTTGCAGTGTTTAGAGCTTTGGATTTGTGCATCAAGTGAGCAGACCAGAAATGCCCAATGTCTGCTCGAAATATCACAATTTTCCTTCTTTTTTATGATGAGAAATTCAGAGAAATGATTGGAGCTCATACCCATGTTATTAGCATCAGACTGGCTTAAAGAGAGCCAACTATAGAGCAGTGAGAATGAGGCGAAGTCCTCTATCACGTGTCCTGCGAAGCTGAGGCTCTTGAGTGGCCGCGTAGACACAGCCTCGTGAATCTCGCTTCTTTCCTCTTCGTTATGGGGCGCAATTAATGCGTACTGTTGTAACGGACACCAATATATCGTCTAAAAATGTCGATAATATCAAGATGGATAACGATGTTGACCGGAAGGGGAACCAGAAGACGACAACCGGATTCCGAGGCCATATCGCACGAACATGTGCAACATGAATGGGAGGAACAAAATGAAATTGAACATTCAACGTTGGCCATATTACTCTGCTATTATTTGAATTTTTGCTAACCCCTCTTTAAACAGCGAGGAGTATCATTACCACTTTACAAGAATGAGCCAGCGCCAAATCCAGATTGGTGTCGACGAGTTCACGGCCAAGTATAATCTCTATGACATACGTGATTTTTTGAGGAAAGGTGCATTGCTATCTCAGGGCCCTGATAGGTTCTGGCTTGTTGAGGGCTTGAACCAAGATGAGATTATGGCTCTGAGCGTCGAAGCGCTGGAGAAACGGCGCTGGCTCTACGGCCGTCAGGACATTTTCCACACTATGACTCTTTTATCCTACTATCTAGGTGGGACTGTCATGTAAGTAGCTGGTGGTAGCCTCCCCCCGGGTTTGGATATCACACTAACTGGTTCTTAAGTGCACAAGCCGAATTCACGATGGGCTTGAATACAGCTTATGAAGATTTCATTTCACTGCCGGAATGGCTAAGCATTAGCAAATAGTGAGTACTCAGTCATCTACTTGACTTATATACCAACCATTGCAATAGTACTTCATTTTTCGTCATAATTGGGTATTGGTTATCGGGGCTATTGAACAGGAATTCCGGGCGCCGAGGCGCTATCATGACTTCTGCGATTTTTAATATCGTAGGCTCCGTTGCAGGCGCCGGTGAAAGCTGGCAATGGTCATTGGTCAGTCAACTAATAAGTGGTATTGCCATGGGCACATTGGTCTGCTCCCTACCCATCTACGGAGCCGAGATTAGTACTGCTCGTTCTCGCGGTCGTGCGGTATCATGGATGCAGTTGTAAGTAGCTGTTTGGATTTGAAGCTTTGTGCAGCCAACATTTTACTGACAAGGTTGAAGGATCACACAGATGACCATGATACTCATGACCGGGCTAATTTTTTTGGTTGGGTTAGCAGTTGGATCAACAACAACAACAACATCGGATCCAACATCAAACATGATCCTCATGAAAAGAGTGTGTTCTGCTACCAGTTTCATAGCTTCCTGTTTGCTATTTGCTTGCATGGGGGCATCAGCTGAATCTCCTCACTGGCTGGTACTCAGAGGCGAGATGCACCGAGCATACATGTCTCTCTGTCGGCTCCGAAAAACGGAGCTACAAGCTGGACGCGATTTATACATGATATACATCCAAACTATACCCGAACAGCGAAATCATGGGAAAACAGGCTTTACTACCAGGTTTCATCAAGTTGTCACGCTACCGAAAATAAGACGTGCGTTCCTGTCATGCATTGTCATTAGCGTCTATATATCGATCGCCACTATGCAAATGACACCCTACCAGGATGTGCAGCGCATTATTCAATCAAGTTTATTCCCGCCTATTCTGATGCTTCTAGGCATCATTTTTTTCATAATCCTCCAATTCAGTCTTAAGCTGTTTGCTGCACACGCAATCGAGGCGTATGGACGACGTGGGCTGCTTATGAGGGCAATGCCGCATATCATTTGGCCATTAATGCTATTGGAAGTCGGCAGAGCATTGCTAAGTCCCCAGGGTTATTATATCGTTAAAACATTATTTCAGGGATCAACAGTCATTCTTTTTATGTCCTTTGCTACTTATGTACCGCTCACATATGCTTCCGAGGCTTTTCCTTTGAGCCACCGCGGTAAGTGCTACTTTTCTCTTCTCCCTTTTCTCGTAAAAGTGTGGCTTACATTAGCAGAAATTGGCATGGCTATGACCGTGTCGACTGTGCAAGCAAGTAGCTTTCTTGCTGAATTAATGAGTTCTTCATCATGGAAATCTGTGTTCCTCCGTCCTTCTGTAATGGGGTGAGTGCTGTGGCCTCTCTTAAAAGCTTGGAGACATGCTAATGCTGACTTGCTACTAGATCGCTCTTAGTTTTGATCTTCTTTCTGACATACTTGCTTATGAGAGAAACCAGCCAATATCCGCTGGAAGAGATGCATACCGTCTTTGAAGCTTCAACGAGGAACTTGGCATCGTACCGTCTTTTTGTGGAGCTTCCATACAAGTTCAAGCGCTATATCCTTAGAAAGGACGTGACTCTTGAGCCTTTTGAGGAATCCAAATACAATGTTGGGATGATCACACTGGGCGATACTGGCACCTCGTCTCCGCCGTGATCGGTATTTAGGACACAAAGGTTGAGTTGCTGAACGGCAAAGGACCATACATTTGTGTTTCTCAGCAAGTCGGCTAATCATGGCTTCCAATTTGAATGTTTACGATCATATTTCGATATTAGAATGCATTGCTATATTGAACGAATCTGAATGTATCTATATGTAGAAAGAACAGTCATGAAGTTCTGTACTGTTCCTTGACGATGATAAAACACGAACTCGAATCACCCCCCGAACGGCCACGGGAGTTCCCTCCAAAACTGCACCCATTGTAATCGCCTCTCCATTCCAGAAGAACCAATCTCACGACTTGCACCGCTGCCAACCAGATAATGCATAATGTCTCGTTTGTTGCATTTTGCCGCCTCATATAACGGGCTGCGCTTGTTCTTGTCTTTCTGATCAATATCGGCTCCCGCCTCCACTAGCCTTTTGATGAACGCCAATGTCAATTTATCAGAGGCAATAGCTTTATGCAGCGGCGTCCGTCCACATCTATCCTGTGCGTTTGGACTAGCATTATAATCCAGAAGGAGTCTAGCCTTTTCTTCCAAGTCGAGACTGATCGCATACTGCAATGGTGTATACCCATTTCGGCCCTTGATTTCTGTGGATGCTCCGTTACTTAGGAGTAACTCCATTGCTTCCGTCGTGCGGAACCTAAGAATTGCTAGGTGCAGCGTAGTATCGCCATCCGCGTTTTGAGCATCGACATCGGCTCGTTGCTTGAGCAGTGATTGTAGCTTTGAAATGTCACCATCGTAAGTGGCTAGGTGCAAGGCTGTTTCTTGGTGTGGTCTGGTTTTCAATTGCACGTTTGCCCCGTAGGTGATTATGAGATCCATGCCTCTTGTTGAGCCTCGCTCTGCTGCGTTGTGTAGAGCTGTATGTCCATCTCGTAACTGGTTTGGGTTGGCTCCGGACTCTAGTAACGATCGTATTCTTCCTATGTCTGCACCTGCATCCTTCATCATAAGCCACAGCTCCGAAGACTGATAGTTCTAATAGAGTTTTTTAGTATGAAGTATACTCATGGGGAAAGGACCTGATCTTACCATTTCATCGTCAAAGTTGGCACGACTGGGCTGAGGTTGAATATAAAGTGGCGCGTTTCCATTGATGTTGATGGATGGTGTGACATGTTCCGGCTGTTTTCCTAATCTTATTGCCTCGCGGCTCGTCCCTTCCAAGCTATCAACTTCTAATAGTTCACTTTCCTCCATAATCTCCCAATCAGAAACGAGGTCCTTTGAAGCCTGCGGTCGTTTATGAGGATGAAGAGCCATGAGATTATTGATAAACTGTCTACCAGACCGGGACACTCCTCGATCAGTAAGTGATGCTTCGGGGAATTCAATACGGCCCAAGCAATAGTCACGGAGCATTGCGACCGTCTGGAATGGGGTCGTCTTCGTGAGAACGTAATAGAGGAAACACCCCAAGGACCATATGTCAACAGCACATGTGTAGCTCGAGTCTTCTTTGTCGTCATCTAGTAGTTGATGGACTTCCGGGGCTTTATATCCTTCTGTTCCAGCGGGAGTTCTTAGGTCGGTTCTGTTTTCGCCTTCCATGACGCGCTTGCTGATTCCGAAGTCACCAATTTTAACCCATATTGGGTCCCTTTGCACCACTAGTATGTTCTATCGAGACAGGTCAGATGAGCAAGAAATAACAACCTGAAGAACATACCTGAGGCTTAATATCCCGATGCGTAATCCCCATCTCGTGCAGTTTACCTAGTCCCTCCAGCAATTGCCCACAGATATTACGAGTCATCACTTCGGGAACCGGGTCTTGGAAGCATTGAGAAACGTCACCGAGGGGGCAATATTCCATAGCGAAAAAGATATAATCAGGGGTCGAAAACCACCCGAAGAACTGAACAAAGAAGGCTTTTTCCTAGGGTACAATCGAGAATGTCAGTGCTCGTTCAAAGCCATAAATATCTCTATTCTGACCTGATCGTTTGGTCATACCTCTGTGACTCTTCCCATGACCTGAAGTTCCCTCAGGTCCCTCTTGACATCTCTCCAATGCACCTGCTTGATAGCTCGCAGTTCACCAAATTGTGACTCTTCCAGGTATACGTGTTGAGCGAGAGCATGTTTCTGCTGCCATATCTTCGTGACAGTTTTATGCTCCTGAGACTGGTCGCTGGAGGGAGCATGGAGGATCTCGCGATTTCGGTCTCCCAGGACGGACACGTTCAGTTTGTATCGCTGTACCAAATCTCCTAGGACGGACACGTCCAGGTTGTATCGCTTCACTAACTCGTCTTCTTCCATTTCGTAGAATATTGGGGGCAATAGCAAATGATAGTGGAGAGTAAATTGTGTTAATGGGAGAAGAGGTACTTTCAAGAGCCTCGATGGTCAGATGACTGTATGGCCAATCTCAGCCTCGTCCGACCGCGTCAACAATGCAGCAGCCACTCTTCTGAATCTTGAACTCAGTTTGCTTCGTTATTACTCAAACTATAGGGGAAAATTTGAGTTTATTTTGAAGATTCCTTGTGTCGGCCATCGCCATGGATCCTGGAAGCTTGGGACTTGCGGTCTTCAGTGCTTTGGATCTGTGCATTCAGTGAGCATACCATAGGATCCCCGAATATTGTTCAGTTGGCTGACTCAGTAGCAGATATGGGGGCGAGATCATTAAGATATGCCGAGAATATCGAAAATTCGAGGAGGAAATTGACGAGATTGTACTTGTGGTGGAAGGGTTATGGGTGAAGACTGAAGTCCAGCTCGATTCTCTTAGAGTCCTTTGGAACACACTCCATGGAACCCTTCAACCACATTACTTTGATGCCTTACAAAGACTTGAAAAGAAGACTTTTGCCGCCGTTCAGACTATCCGGCACGTCAAAGAGTTAGCAGCACCGGATGCCAGTGCGCTCCGGAAGGTCAAGGCGATATATATCAAGAGACATCTCAAACAAACCGTCGCAGATTTGGAAGATTGGCAAAGACGATTTGATCCATCGTGGTACCTGATTACACGTATCGCTAACCCTGTCATCGACAAGCAACTGAAAGATGATTTACCAAGCCACAATCCTTCAACAATCCGACTGAAACGGATGAGGGAGGCAATCAAAGAAGTCTCATCAATTGGGAACTCCCACGCCGGCTCAATATTTATGGATATGTCTCATATAGTAGGACCCGCGCACAAAATCCCCGGGACTAACACGACCATGGTGAGTTACGGTAATGTTGCGCGTACGGTGTTACTGGACCGCACAGATTATGGCCCCCTCACTGAAACAATGACAGCCAAAACATATGTTCGTGATCTGGCGAGGCTTCTGTTGAACGTGGAACCGATGACATTTGGTCTTTTGAAATGCGAGGGTGTGATTGAACTACCTAACAAGGTTGATAAAAGTCAATTCCAGTTTATCCTCGAAGTACCAAAAGGACTTTCATCACCAAGGACGCTCCGGGGTATCTTGGCGGAAGCTCCTCGGTGTTCTCTTAACCATCGTATCCAGCTAGCCAAGCAGTTGGCTCGCTCAGTCATGTTTGTTCATACATCAGGATTTGTCCACAAAAATATCCGCCCGGAGACCATTCTAGTTTTTGCAGACGGTTCGAGCCGCCTTGGCCCGTCGTTCCTCAGTGGCTTTGAGAGGATCCGGCCATCAGAGGCAGCAACAGAGAAGTCAGGGGATCTGGTGTGGCAAAAGAACCTTTATCGGCATCCGACGCGGCAAGGCCTCTGGCCCGAAGATTACTACAACATGCAGCATGATATTTACAGTCTCGGGGTGTGCTTACTGGAGCTCGCACTGTGGCGCTCTTTCGTACAGTACGATGGTGATACTGCCATTCCGTGTTCCGAACTTGACATAACAGCCGCGATTTCGGATAAGGACCCGCGTCGAGGTGCATTTGCCATCAAGAAATTACTAGTGGCTATGGCCGAAGAGTGTCTCCCCAATTCGATGGGTGACAGATACACTGGCTTGACAGTGGCTTGCTTAACTTGCCTCGACAGTGGGGAAAGCAATACGTTTGGCCCCGACGTGAAGGATCAAGATGGTATTATCGTTGGTGTTCGATATATCGAAAAGGTGGGTCGTCCGGCGCCTTATTTCCGCGGATATCGGCTGACGAATTCTTAGGTTTTACTACAAATAGAAGAGATTTGTATTTGAGGAGCACTACCACAGGGGTTTCTCTGAGTCATTATGCACTGTCAACCGTTTCTCGCGGGATTTTTTCTCCAGATATGCCATTCCACCCTAGGCTACAAAATTTGCATTTGCTCCAGGAATAGTTCAGCCTTATAGGGCTGAGTGGGTCGCTGGCATTTAGCTCCACATAGACTGACCTGTGGGTCAAAGCGGATTGTGTATTTATAAGGGAGTGCAGTCTACCATTCTGGCAACAATGGCCAATTCATTTGCAAAAGCATCCTTTTTAGGAACATTCTTCGTTCTATTACTGCCATACAGTCATGGTCAAGCCTTTTAGCACTACTAGAAGTCCTCATGGCGATAATGGAGGGACAGCGGAACTCTCACCCCCTGGCCAGGAGAATTAGCTTCAAATTACTCTGTGCAGCGCTCTGCTTTGGACTCTCCGGCATCTCAAGAGGTAAGTTATAATATTCTCAGAGAGCTTTACAACTTACTAAGAAGCAGGACTTGACGAGGGCCTCATCGCAACGACTGTCGCCGAGCCATCCTTTATCAATGAATTTGACCTTCGAGCGAGTTCCCTCGGCTCCTCCGAGCAAGCTGATCGACTCTCGAATATTACGTCCATGGTCCACATCGGCAGTATCCCCGGTGCCTTGATTGCGTTTGTCCTTTGCGAACGAATCGGGATGCTCTGGTCTATGCGTCAGCTGTGTGTCTTGTGGCTAGCGGGTGTGGTTATTGTGATCACCGCCGGTGAAAGTCTTGGTCAGATATATGGTGGAAGGTTTGTGATGGGACTTGGAATTGGGCAGGCTGGTATCGTGGCTCCGACATATCTAGCAGAGATTGCTCCTCGTAATGAGAGAGGGTTCTTGGTCTGTCTGTTTGGTATGTCAGAATACATCGGGATAATGATAGGGGTAAGTTTGGCTCTAGGGGCTTCAGGTTTATTTACTGACGGATATAGTACTTCTCCGCATGGGGCGCTTCATTGCATATACCCAACAGCAGCGCGAAACAGTGGATTATTCCCCAGAGCATACAGATAATCGTTGCCGGTATCCTGCTTCTACTGTCATTTCTATGTGAAGAAAGTCCTCGGTATCTGTGCAAAGTCGGACATGACGAAAGGGCAAGAGCATCGCTGGAAAGGCTATGGGGTCTGCCTGGAGAACACAGGTTGATCTCGTCGGAAATGGATGGTATCCAGCGTCAGCTGCACGTTGAACAGGAGCAATCAAATGGTCAAACTTGGCTCAGTGCTCTGCGCGAATTGTTTCTCGTAGCAGCTAACCAAAAGCGACTACTTTTTGTCATCTCAGAGCAACTTATGAGCCAGTGGTCCGGAGCAAATTCGATTACCAGTGAGTCTATCCCCTATCATCGCATGATACTGGTATTAACAAACGGCAGCATATGCTCCTGAATTATTCGCCCTGTTTGGCTTGACGGGCCAGTCTAAAAAGCTATTCACGACCGCAATACTGGGAGCCGTCAAGCTGGTTGCTTCTCTCCTTTGTGCTATCTTCTTGATCGACCGCATCGGACGCAGGCGATCCTTAGTCTCCGGCATCCTCATCCAGCAAGTTTCCATGCTGTACATTGCCATTTATCTCACGGTGGAGTCATTCTCCGCCGATGCGGAGTCACCTTCCATGAAACGAGCAGCCATTGGAGCAATCATCTTTATCTATTTTACAGGCGTGGGCTGGGCCATGGGATTTAACGCAATCCAATACCTGATTAACGCCGAGGTCTTTCCGCTGCGTGTTCGAGCCATCGGGACCAGTCTTTTGATGTGCTTTCACTACGTCAATCGGTATGGTTTATCTAAGGTACGCATACTCCGCTCCTTACCATATGCTGATCAAAATACTGACCAAATAGGCTGTTCCGTCTATGTTACTTGAAGATGCGCTTCAGCCGAAAGGGACGTTTTGGTTCTTTTCGGCTCTGACCTTCCTGGGTCTTTTGTGGACATTGCTGTTCCTGCCGGAGACGGCAGGGCGGAACCTGGAAGAAACGAACGAGCTGTTTACGTGAATTGATGCTAGAACTAGTACAATTACCGGAAGTTCGGTGATGACTACCCCTTTGGAACTGTTCTGTGGGGTTCCGACGGGGCCGAGAGAGTTTGTTGTGGGAGATCTTCTCTCAACACCCGACGGAGTCAAATTTATAACGGAAATACGGATATAAGCTGTGGGTGGGTGGGATAGTAAATGGATACGTTGCCATATGTCTGGGATCTTTAGCTTGTATAGGATATTACGTCGGGAAGCAATTATACTAGAATATCGTGATGTTGGGATTGATATTCTGCATGTGTTATCGAAACTATACATTCCGTAGTACAGATAACATGGGAAACTACCAAAGAACGATATGTATGGCGGACTGCCTTCATGGTTTTCCATGGTCGAGTGAAAGTACGGAGTAAATGGTTACGTTGCTGAACGATATTCTTGGTATCCTTAGCATGTACGGAGTATCACGTCTGGAAGCAACTAAAATTGATTGCTATATAATCAAGTCTCATGACGGTGGGATTCAAATGCTGCACATGTTGTCGAAACTATATATACTGTGGTACTGATTGCGATTATATCTAAAACTATCCAAGAACTCCATGAACAGCTATCCAGCATAATCACCACTCCTTTAGTCCCACCGGCCCGGTACAGGTCCAATGCTTGTGAGTCAGCTTCTTGTTCTCAACCTCGTCCACAATGGCTACTGCCATATCCTCGTTGTAGATTCCGTTATTGATAGCAGGCTCGGCGGATCCGGCAGAGTCGTCCACGAGGACCTCGTATTTCCCGGTTCGAAGACCTACTCCCGGATCATTAGTCTGTACATCAATTTCAACAATACATATAACCAGGAGATGAAACGTACCTTTATCACGTAGCTGCCAAGGGGGCGATAGGAAAGACCACTGGATATCCTTGACACCTTCCCACATGGACAGAGTCACACGAGAGCAAAAAATTAACCCGACGGTGTCCGGGTTAGTCAGTATTTGTTTGGCTTTCCACAGGAGCAGATTTGCCCAGGGTCTGGAGAGCCACGAGAACCCTGATTTCAGTGGGTTAGTCATAGGTTGTCAGAAGAGATGTTAAAAAGATCGCAATGTGCCTTACAGCCCGGATTCTCGCGATTTGACTTCGCCCATTTGAAAAGTCGGATGAAGTAACCAAATCCCATCTGTCCGTGGTCGAACATGCGGGTTGCCATGTATTCCATATGGACATAGGGCCATGTGTACCTACAAGCTGTCAGCTTTTCTCGTTATGAGAGTAATACGCGAGAGGAGCTGACCAGTGCTTGAACGCGAATCCTTCATCATCACACAGCTGCACGCCGTTCTTGTAATGCAGAGAGCCCGCGCCGCCTGCAGAGCACATTGCACTTAGCATGAAGCACTTGTCCAAGGGAACAGATACCTTACCAATAATGATAACTGGACCCCGGTAAATCGACCTCACTATTGCCATCTTGATGTTGCCATGACCCTCCACACCCAGCCTATACACGTCTTTCAGGTCGACCAGCGGTGGTGCAAAAGCAGACACGACTGCGTCAAACCCTCCTTCGGAGAAGATGATGCTCAGACCAGGGATGTCACCAAAGTCGCATGCAATACCACTGTAGTCCCCAGATCTTGGCCAGGTGCTCGGGGGTGAACGAGAGATGCCCACGACACTATGCCCTCTTGACAGAAGTTCATCGACAACACACTGTCCGCATTGTCCTTTGGGACCGAGGACGGCGATTCTGAAGCTTTTGGACATGGCGTGTAGCTAATACAAGGCAAGACTACAATTTTCCTCTGCTTTTGCAACTTGGAAGCAAGTCTCAGGGGCATTTATAGATGCTGGTCGGATTTAACACCTTCTGTCTGTCGGTACCCCGTCGGCCCCACCACATCTCCGGGATGATCATGGACATAGCTCTAATACACGACACGGATGTTGGAATATATTTAATTCTCAATTCGGATTATCCGAGTCTTTAAATGGACCTCGCTGAGACATCCTACTCTTCTTCTGTTCCCGTTTCTTCTTCTTCCCGGAACACAGAGTGGGCTCTTCCACCATCCGCGCCAAAACTATGTCCGAAAACGAGTCGCATGCTTCCTTTTTGGAATCATGCTTTGAAATCAGGCAGGTGGCGCAGAGTCTTACCAAGTTTCGTCCCGCCCTTTCACCAGAGGACCCCAAGGCGCGCTTCCCCGGCTTCCGCCAGCGGGTCACCGTATTCAAGGCAGGACAACAGGTACAGAAAGGCGCAAAGCGCTTGCCTGTTGACCTTCTTATGCATGATAGTGTGCCTGTGATCTTGTCGGATGGTACCAAGCTGTATTACGATGTCTTTCTCCCAATCGGCTTTGAGAATCTCGAAGCAACCGTCGATGATTCCAAGAGAATTCCCGCTCTAGTTGCTTGGTACGCCCGAAGATATATCTAGTTAGTTTGAATATTGCTGACAATTATACAAATGTAGGAGTCCATATGGCAAGCAACTTGGCACGACTGTCCTTGACGACTTCCCATTCCGCGCCGGAGTCCCCAGGCATTGGCTCTCGGGTCTTCAGAAATGGGAAGGCCCCGATCCTGCATTCTGGTGCGCCAAAGGATACGCCATAGTAAATGTTGATACTCGAGGGGCATATACATCGGAGGGCGACCTTCTTATTATGGGACACCAAGAAGCTCAAGATGGCGCGGAGTTTGTCACTTGGTTGTCAGAGCAGCCCTGGTGCAACGGCAAAATTGGTCTCACTGGCAATAGCTGGTTAGCGCTGTCACAGTGGAAAATAGGGAGCCTGCGGCCTAAAGGTCTGGCTGCTCTTGCGCCTTGGTATTTGCTTTGCTTCCTTGTTCCTGTAGATCTTGAGACATTGATATCCAACCCAGGGAAGGAATTCAAGACATCTATCGTGATATAATTTGCCAGGGAGGGGTTCCATCACCAGGCTTCCATGATTCAATTGCAGGTTAGTCAATATCTTTTCATTATATGAGCCCTATAAGTGCTAATAGAGACCACAGATACCCTCGCCAGCTACGGCAAGCTGGAAGACGTGTCGGGTGTTCTGCGCAGTAACCCACTTTGGAACGAGTACTGGGAGGACAAACGATCCAAGCCCGAGCAGATCGATGTCCCGACTTACATCGTGGCCTCATGGACGAACCCTATCCACACATCCGGTACATTGCGAGCATATCGAGCTATACCAGGGTCCGTCCCGAAATGGCTTCGCGTGCATAACTCCCAGGAATGGCCAGACTATTATGCTGACTCCAGTTGCCATGACCTAAAGCGGTTTTTTGATTGCTTCCTGAAGGGTCATCATGATAATGGCTGGTTGGCTACACCTAAAGTCCGGCTAAGTATCTTGAACTTCGGGCTATCAGAACTGGATGATACAGTCAATAGATCGGAGTTGGAATGGCCACTTGCACGGACAGTGTATAGAAAGTTATACTTGACTCCGGATCATCAGATGAACTCCTCTCAATCAGGCCAACCAGGGTCAGTTGCGTACGATTCGAAAAGCGGAAGTACCAAATTCCGATATCGATTACCAGCAGATATGGAGACAACGGGTCATTTCACAGCTCGTCTCGCAGTATCGTGCCCATCGAGCGCTGACATGGATTTGTTTATCCAAGTGTGTCGTCTTCGAGGGCCGTCTTCTTACAAGCAGGGTGTCCTAACTATCAGACCACAAAACGCAGTCGTGATGAGGTTGTTGAAGCTGTTGCATGATTGGCAAGTCGGTCTGCAAAGTGTTGGTATGCTCTTTCACTGGGGACCCAATGGACAGCTGCGAGTCAGTCATGCACACAAAAAGAGCACACTTGCTGCACCTTTTGAGCCAGTCTATGATCACGTTAACAAAATATCCTTGGAAAAGGGAGAGATTCGAGTTGTGGAGGTTCCTCTGCGTCCATACGGCATGTATTGGCAGGTAAGAGCTTTAAACGCAACGTATGTTCCAATATGGTGATGCTAATGAGCCCACAGAAAGACGACATTATGGAATTGACAATCTCCGGGAATCCTGTGATTCCATTCCCACTTCCAGGCGTACCAACCTTACAGGGCGAGAATGTCGGCAACCACGTTATTCACTGTCTTGATCGGGGGGAGGATAGCTCTTGTCTTATTATACCATGTGCCTGAATACAGTCGGGCTATACATAGTGAATTGAACTTTATAACCCACAGTAGTTTTCAAATTATGCAATCACTTGGCTCGTCCTTGGGTTCCTTATCGGATCCTGGGAGGTTGATCCGTGGTTTCATTCAAGTACATAAAGCATTATACTTTCAACTTCAATTCCTTCACAACTCTTTATGGTCCTCTTATATGCCACCAGGAAAGAGAATGAATAGAGACACAATAGAAAGATCTCCAAGAAGGTCTGGCCGTCTAGCAGGCATTTCCCCTCCAAATACAAGTGAGAACCCCTAATTATTCGGATGCCAAGTCAACGGTTCAGCTAATTTACCAGAGACTGAGTCCGCTGAGCGATGGTCAGGCCCGAATCTGAAGCGTCAAGCTAAAGGGTGCATCGACTGCTACGTCCCAGCAAGTCGAACCTTTGACGAGAAGCTGGCATCTTGTATGCATGCTTTCCTTGAGTGGGCCGGAAGGAGGAAGGGAATGGGTCGCAAGAGACATACGAGATTGTACGAATGACGAATCGCTATGGAGCGTGTACTATAGATTGGTTACGGGGCTTTTATACCCCAGTAAGTACAAACGCAACAACCTGGATTCACTTCTCTGATAACTCTGAAGTGATGACAACTCGGAGATAACACCTCGTCACAACTCCCTTTTTGCTCAAGTTCTTGGAGCCGTATGAACTTGAAGATAAGGCTGTTGATTATGACTTTTATAACTCGTGCCTGAAGCGCGACACACACCATTGCGTGGTGACACGCTTCATGGAGTATTACTATTGGCATGCGAAGGGCGAGCCGGAAGATGAGTATTTCGACGATCTTGAAGCTGTGCATATCATACCTTCTGCATATGAGTCATGGCGTGCAGATGCAATGGTAGGCACCTAAATACTTCTATTTATATTTGTATAATCGATACTTATTGACGAACAGGGCCCGGATGATGCCATATCACAGTGGGAAATACTCTACGGCTGCTTTCCAGAGATGAGAAATACCGGAATGAACATGAAAAACATCCGTGATCTCCCAAACGCGCTTGCCTTGATAATGGTCATGGCCACGCAATTCAGCAATCTTCGAATGGTTCTGATCCCTACTGTTAGTAACCCAGTATCCTGTCTTGTCATCAAAACTAACATGAGCAGGAAACCCCCAATATATACCACATCAAAATATACAAATACTTCGCAAGCGCCTATTATAGGTTTCTCCCAGCCGACAGACTAGCCAGATTCCCGTCGCAACCGAATCATCTCGCGCCCAACCCCGTCCTCTTAGATACTCACTATAGGGTCGTGGAAATCCTGAATACATTTAGGGTAGGAGATAAAATCCAGGAAAGAATCAGTGAATAGAAAGATTTGAAAAGCGGTCCGGGACATGGGTCTTTTAAAGCAGATGGGACCAGCAACATCAAGCCGTACTTGGATACCGGGCTTTGGGATTTTATGGCTTGAATAGGAATTGAATATTTTACTACTCTCTTAGAAATTAGATTGCCATGCCCCCTTAGCGTAGCCATAATCCAAGTATGTATGCCAATAGCTAATCCAGCTCAGCTACGAGAAACCAACCGTTTGGCTTTACATACAGAAAACAAAGAACCAAATCGTCCAGACAGTCATGTGACAATTAAGCGAGGTTGATAGTGAATACTTGAAAGGCCTTTTCGTTTTTATGCTGAAATATTTTCCTTCTGCAATTCCTCTTCCCATTCCCTAACCATTCCCTAATCCAACAATTGGAACGCCCAATAACTTTCATCTTTCTGTATCTCTGGTGCTATTGTCTACAATCGCTATGTGTTCTAACATAAACATACTCTGATTATCCATGATACCCTTTTAATGACCACGCTGTGACCGCTTCAGGGTACGACGAATCCCTGGCCTAGGGAGTCATTCCCCATTACGAAAAACGGAATGACGCTCCAAAAAATGAGTGAATTACACCATTGTCAGCCAGGTGCAAAAGGATGTCACCACTTGGCTCAGCAGGATATGAGCAGAAACTTATCTGGAGGACTGAGAATCCCACGCGAGGGACATATTAAATTGTGCAGATGCCGAGATTTGTGGATCGTCTTCCAGAACCTTGCAACCGGATTATTACGACCAAGTAAGTCATATGAAACTTTAGACTGTCTCATACAGCTCTAACTCAGCTTAGTGAAGGCGACAACTAGGCGAATTTCGGTGTTAGAATTGTCGATATTCAAAGGACACAAAAGCGCCAGCACAGTCGTGGCGACAATCGATGAATCAAGCGTCAGAGAACCTGTTTTCTGTGCCAATTCTGTTGCATGATGATTACCGATGCGCCATCACAAATACCCTCGAGCACTCTGAGTGAAAGAGACGTGGACATCCGAAAAGCGACGAATGCAACATTATAAAGGCTACTCATATAGTACCATTTTCATACGCATCCTGGCGCATGGTATGTCAATGATAACCATAAAGACATTCGATCACGCAAACAAACATAATGCTAATACATAGAATAAGGTGCCTCAAAAACGATGAGATGACCTGGGAAGCGCTGTACCGCTGCTTCCCAGCGGCTTGTCGAGTTGGTATGCACATGGATAATATCAATCATATTTCCAATGATATCAGCATGATACCAGGCATGCACGCTCAATTTGGACAATTCAGGATGTCCTTAAGCCCACGGCGAGTATATACAAGTGCCATACTTGACCAATGATGATCTAACTACATCATCATTTACACGGCCGGTTACCAAGGCATTTTCAACCGTCATGGCATCACGATATGCAGGGCTTTTCCTACCCTCTACCATGACCTCCCCGCAGACAGACTCATAACATTCAAAACGAAAATAAACTTCTTTTTTCCAGACCCAATGCTCCTAGACACACACTTCCGTGTCGCAGAGATTCTGAGCGCAAGCGGTATGGGAGAGGTAATCAGCCAGTGGTTAGATGAGGTAGCGCTGGTCACGGATCCTTTCCACAAGATACCTCCATTGCGCATACTCTGGATACGAGCTTTTTACGGGGTGTAACTGGTCACAATCCATCCCGGCAAGGGACATGGCTTGTTTCTTGTTCGTTTACTTTGTTTTTACATGGTCTTTTGTCTTTCTCTTGGTTCACCCGGAATTCACAGAGCTTGTCGAAAATGCAGACAAAGCTATGAGCATCGTTGGCAACTATTCCGATCCGTTTGATCTAGGGAGTCCAATTAGTGTGGCTTAGTTGAGGTGCTTGCTGGAAATTTCAAAGCAGGGAGTGCGCTAATGTGGTTTTGTGCCATTATCGAGTATTAGAATCAACAAAAGGACAGGCATATCAATGAGTTAAGCCGCTTATTACCAGTTTTGGCACCAGTTAACGGAGCCCTGATACAGTGTATCCGGAGCGAAGGAAAGACAGTCAGCTGGACACACTCCGTTTTGTTGAGACGGTGTGTTTGGCGTTGCAGCCTCGAGTTGGAGGTCGGTGAGCACCGCCACAGACTGGGTCAGGTATAGGTAGTTCGTTCTCAAGGTAGGTATTAAAGGAGGGACTAGTGGTTCAATTATGTATCACTAGAGCATACAGAATGATGTACATATTAAGGTTGGATTTGAATATATCATACTGCACATTTGATATTGACATTTTGCGCCGGTGATCCGTAGTTAGTTCTCTATTAAACATGTCCACTTCGCGAGAAAAACGCCAGTCTGGGAATATCATGGTGAAATATGTACACTGAATAATACAATTGAATCAGTTATCCAACATAGGAAGACCACCTAGATCATCAAAAAACCGTGCAATCCCATCAAACGAATAATCAGGAAACCCGAACCCGTACGCCCATTCCTAATCACATCACCATCAGCAACCACACACATACAAAGACGCAAAGAGAAGCAATCACATACCGGAATATCAATCCCAATTCCCGCCTGACCAGTCCCCTGTTCCGTCCCCGTTCCCGCCCACACAGAAGCCGCCGGGTCAGCATCCCCCTGAGACGGCGTAGTAGCAACCTGTGTACCATTGGTACTATTATTCGGTGCCCTGAAATCCTTCAAATACTGCACGATGATCTCGACTGATTTCCGCGCCACGACGGATTCATCCATTGCTTCTAGGATCTCCACGGCCATTTCGACTGAACTTGCTAAGGGGAGGGTTTGTGGGCACATGCCTAGTTTGGACATGGGGAGGAGGAGGGTTGTTGTGGCGAACATTACATAGGTTGTGTTGTACCACCTGGATTTGTTAGAATTTATGACTGGGAGAGAGAGGGAGGGGGAAGGGACATACCAGCAGCGGAAGAATGTGTGGATGCGGTAGATGTCGTGGATGACTTCGATGGTTTTCATGGCGGCGTCTAGGCATTTGTTTATTGTTTGTTCTAGTTCGGCTGGGGTGTGTCTTAATTTGCGTGTAAAGTGGCTCAGGAATGGGCGGAAGAGTAGCATTTTAACATTGTAGTATCCTGTGCAAGTGAGCAATCGTCCTTAGCCTGGCTGGTAAATGATACTCACGAATCCCCAAAACCAATCTCTGCCTTCTCGCCCACTTCGGATCACGAAGCGCACCTCCAGACACCGGTTGCCCTTGGAGGCCAGGCTTGATTCTATGGGGCAGTCTAGCTACCCATCTGTCCATTTCTTGTTCGATCTGAAGAGCAAGCTGTAGTTTGTCTTGTAAGGTGAAGCGCGAATGGTATATTTGCACGGATACTTTCCGTATGATCTGCGCGAAGTCTACCATCCATGGTATGATGGCGTATTCGGAATCATCGCGTTCAGGGAGAGAGCGGTTGTGGTATTCGTCCATACCGAGAGTATCTGGGCGGCCTACAGAGAAGCTCATTTCTCTGTAGAGGGTCAGTATACGTTCCGTGTTGCACTGAGCAATGAACTTACATCTCCAGAGAGAAGAGACCCCTATCAAAGGCATTAGTAGAGATCACTTGAGATCGTTTAGGATAAGTTGCTTACCACCACGTCTTCGAGATCCAACTTTCCCGTTGATCCTTTGGATTCCGCACTTCTCGATTAAACCCAGCAGATAAACACGTCCGTATGGCAAGTCCAAGATACATATACGCCACTGCACAGTCAGCACGATCCCAACGGCTCAAAGGAGAAGTGTACTCACAATTTGGATTCAGCTCATTCTGGCATACTTTCGCCTATCAAATATCAGCATCAATCCATGCCAAAGGGGCGAAAGCATACCCACCATAAGATAAAGACACTGCACCGTCTCCAAATCATTCGAAAACTGCAAATAGTTCAGATACATCTGCGCCTCGCGGAACAACTTCCGGCTCCAGTCAAAGCGCGTCAGTCCGTTCAAAATCTCTTTATCCCACACTCGGACCAACGCCCCAAACGAGAGAACGCTAAGATATAGCGCGATAAAGCTGAGTGATTGCTGATGATTCTTATTAAACCATAGATCATGCGCGCGAGCCATAAAGTCATCCTTGTCGATGAACGGGTGGATGAAATGGATATTCTCAAAATAGCCATTCATAAAAGCATAGGCCTGGTCGAAATAGAAATTCTGATCTTGGAAAAACTGGGGCTTCACAGGTCCGGTTGTGCATGATGGTGAGAAACTGGAATTGTGTAATGTCGAGATCAAAGAATATGACCCGTCCGGTGGACGCAGATTGGACTGCTCTTCTGGTCGTTTCGGCTCTCGCGCCTTCTCAAGGTGTCCTATAAAAGCAGCTGAAGACGTGCTTCCGTGAAACTCGATCCTGTTGGTGTGGTGGTTGAACTCGCTGATCTCTTCTTCTGTGCTATCTGCAGACCCATCTCGATTGTCCCCGGACACGGTGGCGTCGTCCTTTGGAGTTGATTCATGTTGTGATAATGAACATGGTGTTGCGGTAGTAATTGGCTGTGCTGCTGGTCTGCTTCCCAGAGCTTTTGCTAACCGGGGAGGTTGTGGCGACGCACCACTCGATTCCAGCGTCCGCAGCTTGGACGACAGCTCTTCTACCCGTTTCTCCAAATCGGAAACATAGCTGAAAAAACAAAAAAAAAAGTCGTCCAATTAGAATCAGAACACCCAGATCAAACCACATAGACATACCTCGTAGATCTAGCATCCTCCCTCGACCGAAAATTCCCCTGATATTTACAATCCACCTGACTCTCTTCAAACCATCAGCCCCTATCCATTCAGAACAGATGACAAAAAACTCACTCTTACAATGCGAACAAGGATATGACTCATCACATTTATACTTCTTCACCCGACACCGATCACAAGCCTGCGCCGCGCGCGGCCGTTTCGCCTTCGGTTGAACGGCGTCATCTCCAGCCGTAGCTGCAGGACGGCGCAGAGGCGACGATGAAGCCGGACGCTCCATTATCCAGTCATGTTATGTACGGACGATTATGTATGTATGTACTGTGCTCTTATCAGTGGTTTCCCTGGCGAAGAAATGATATCAGTGTGCTGTAGTAGCAGTAGCTCGAAGTGAGTTAGTTGTATGGGGGAACCGAACGCGTCGGGAATTCCGACAACGGCTGCGTGCAGAACCACGTGACTACCCCGCGGGGATGGTTTCTGCAGGACCAGCAGGGATCTATATTAAGGGTCGTTGAGTTTGCGGGGAAGATGGATTGTATTGGATATCACTATGTGCATGCTTATATGTATATTTACAGCTCGATTGTGATGTCGAGACCTGCTGTCGCGGACTCTACATTTGCCGAATCCCATGCCGGTGCTTGATCGGGTAAAATAACGCCCGTGAATGGCGTTCCCAAACGGTGGACCAGTGCCTCGATGCCATTCCCATCGGTGAATGACCAGATGCGGGCGTATCGACTGGCAAAGTCTAGGGCGAATGCCTGGCCTGCTGGAATCACAACTGTCTCGCCCTCCCGGAACACAGCATCAGGGGCTCCCTTGAGACGGACAAGCAATGTCCCCTCCTGGACACACAAACAATGATCCACCGTTCGGAACGTCATATACTTTGAAAACAGCGTCGAACCATAGACTTGTGACGACTCAATGCTCGAAATCGCGCAGACACCACTGCTCTGAGCAGTAGTGACAAACGGGCGAGACATGATACCCCCAAACATCCATCGTGGCCCAGTATTGGCTCGCAGATAGAACGCTTGCGGACCATCTGGTAGTTTCTCATCATCTTCTGTCCAATCGCCCACCTCGGATGGTTGGTAGTCAGGCTGGAAAACGACATCGAACTGTTCCTTCGCAGCCATGACCTTAGGAATCAACAGAGACTTCAAGTCCCGGTCATCGTTCTCAGGAACAAGAAGCCCCTCAAATGGCTCTGACACGTAGCGAAAGAAGTTTACCCAATCGCCCGGAGTAATCAAACCAAAGATCTCCGTGTGCGGACCAAGCATCTCTGGATTATGAATCACCGTCTGTACAGTCAGTATATCCCAACATCACCAGTATCCGGACAAAACATACCGGAGGCACATAAGAAAAATCCCCCGGCCCCATAATCCGACATTTATCCCCATTCCACAGCTTCAAATATCCCTTCGTAACAAGAAACACATCATGCGCATGGTTGTGGTAGTGAAAACCCGGTGCATCAGAGAGCACAGCACCGCTTTGGAAAACTGCCATCAGCCCATTTGTCTGCTTCGATGATGCGAGTATGCGAAAGACGCCTTTGCTGCCGGGGATGGTGATGCGTTCTCCCTCTAGCTGAGGAATCGCATACGGAACCCGCGATTGGGGTGGTTGGTTGCTCCACAACAGCGCCATTGTCGAATATGAATATAAAAGTTATTGTGTTCAGGTAATGGGAGGATTGCATATGTATTTGGCAAAAGGATGTCCGGGGACTGGGAGTAGAGTTGGGGTACATATCCGGGATGTGGGGTAGTGCCGAAGTCGGAGAAGCCGCGTCGGAATATCCGGCTGATCTGGACGGCATATTAAGAAGATAAATAGTAACATGTTTAGGGTTTTGGACAATTGCGGGTAATTGAACAAAGTGCACTCCCTTCATTTCACGGCGGTCTGGTATCTTATCCTACTATGATCTTCCCGTTTTAGATACACACTGACCAGCCAAGACAACTTACTCTGTAGAGAACCGTTGTTTGTTAACTTGTTCAATCGACAACCTAGCACTTCTAGCAAATTAATTAAATATATATATTATTACTCCTTATGGTCTATTTCCATCTGGAATTCGTCTCCGAACACTTTGGTATCCAACGCATATATATTTATAACGGCACCACGGAACGGGCCGTAGTGGAGACAGCGGAACTGTTCCAATCATCACTCTGAGGTTATATTTAGTGTTGAGATATTGCAGCTGCTTCATAGATAAATGAGCTTTGATGCAGAAAACATGATCACTGCGTGTACTATCCAGTTGAAGCGATGATGCAGCTATCCGTCAGGATTCGGAAACCATGACAAGTACCGTGGACAACTACATCACGAGCTACATTCTAACTCGTAAGGAAAACTCGTTCAGCATGTGTCTCGGTCCCGGTATCGCGTTTGCGCAAGATAAAGGCAAACTCGACCCGCGGTAAACCATACCGGCCGCCAAGATATAAAATAAGCGACTGCAAGCATTTGGGAGTTATCAGTCACGATGCTCGAGATCCACGACAGCAAAAGGTCGCGGTTGTGAAAGTACATACAATCTAATCAAGCTTATTAGGGAAAGATATGCAACACCAGGAATCCTTGTTACAGAAGACTACGATGGACGATAATGGCCAGCTATTTCCAGCGAGCTACTGGTATTCTATGAAGAGAATCACAAGTAAAGACATAGCTATTGCAATCGTAAAGAACCTGACTAAAAAAGCATAAATTAATGATCCATACGCCAGAACCAGCTCATAAGAAAAAAAAAAAAAAAAAAAATTTCCCGCCGCAGTAGAGATCCAAACTCGCCCAAAGAAAAACAAAAGAAAAGAGATTGCGTAATAATATGATAAACTGGTATCATTCAGTCTGAATTCCCATTCTTAAATCCACGACTAGACAAAGTAGTCAGGCGGCAAAGATGCCAGCAGAGCAATGGTACCAAGACCGCCAACCACTGCACCTGCAAGAGCCGTTGCAGCATGGGTTACGAAACGTCCGCGGCCTTCATCGGAGGTCTTGAGCCGTTTGCTAGGTCTTTCCACATCGGGAACAGACTTTGATTCTTCAGGCCTATCTTCGGGAATAGAATAGAGACCAGTGTGCTGAGTTGAGTCGTCAAGGTCAGGCAGCGAGGGCCGCGGCTGCGCATCTTGAGAAAAGCTCTCCTTGTTAATGACACGTTCGCTAGTGCCCAACGGTACAGTGTTGGCGCCGGATGCATAAGCATCGACGGACGAGTGATCAGCAAATTCGTCAGGATAAGGGGGTGCTTGTGGCATCACGACCGACTCCATCTCATCTGCCTTCCTCTTTGGAGGGAGTCCTTGCGCAGGTCGGGCCTCTTGCGACCGGCTATCAACAATGTCGGAAATACAGAGCCGGGTGTTGGGTTCGCGCGAATAATCCGCTGAGGTTGTTTGCTGCATCCTTGACTGACCTGGGAAGCCGGGCTTCTCAACTTGCCATTGATCTTCCGCACTATATATATCATTCTTCACAGGAGACACACCGCTCGAGCCATTGTAGGAGCTAGGAACCACTGGAGGGATTACTGGAGCTGAGAGAACTGTCTGTCGTGGCTGTCGTCTCACGGGAAGAGTATCGAATCGAGTGCAGCGTTGCCCAAAGGCTCTAGGTGCCGTTCCGATATCAAAATGATCACCCTGTGGCACAGCTTGTGGTTCCCACCCACTAGAGGACAAAGCATGTAGACTAGGCAGACGGGGATATGAGTTACCGGTCTGCTGCAAAGACGACCTTGGGATAGCATACGGATCGCAAAGCATCGCTGGCGAAAGGGGGCCTGATCTGGCGAAAGTAGTCGCCGGCCATGCTTTGTCAAAGTTAAATTGGGCTTCTTCGGTGTTCTGTGGTTGAATGTTCTTAGGCTGGATAGTTGAAGCAGGGGCACCGAACTCGGCCCCCTCCTCATTGGCAACCTGCGTTTCATTGCCTGTCTGTGGCTGATGCTTGTTCTCCAATTCGTCACCGTGGGAGGTTGTGTCTTCGGATTCACTGTCCATCTCCGAGTCAGAGGACTCAACGTTCGAAGATTCACTCTCTGAACCGAATCCATAGCTGATCACATCCTCTTCATCCCAATAATCAAATTCGGTGGCGGGCTGGGGCTCCCTGGGAGAGCTTGCGACGGAGGATGAGTGATCCGAATCGTGATCCATGGCGTTGGCATCAACATCGACATTGGTGACATGGCTATTCGAAGCATTTGAGATAGGTGGAGGAGTCATCCTCGGCGTCACGGGAGCCTCGTCACCATCGAGAACAATGGGACTGCCCGAGGTTCCGTCGGAGGGGTCTGAATGAACTTCCTTGAGTGGGGCCTCTGTGGGTTTGGATTCGAAGCCCAAAGAGACTTCCTTGGTCGACGGCGAGGTGATTGGCGTAGAACTCTCTTTAATTTCATGGTTTTTTGCGTCATCACTCTGGTCGGAATCCTCAGACTCGTGATCCTGAGGACTCATCGGTCTAGCCGGCACTGAGTCGTCAACCACCTCAACAACATCACTGTCGTCGTCATCGTCAGGAACGACAAAAGTGTTGATAGGATAGCTCTGTTTTCTGGCTGCGATGTCCTCCTTTGATGCATCATCACTTCATTGCGTTAGTTATCCGGATAAGGAAAACGTGGGGGAGGACATACCTAGAATCGAACCACTCGCACCCACAACGAACCCTAAGCGGGGGGAACGTTTCTATAACCAGTCAGTTTCACATACCCGACAATCTCAGGGGGGTTAATAAACGCACCAGCACCACGAGTAACATCCGCACCAAAAGTCAAGACATCGCCGCTATTCACAACGACATCCTGCTCGACAGGAATCCTCCTGTCGTTCACCCAGGTACCATGCATGGAACCGCCATCACGAATAATGACAGTCTGCCAACACTCAGTATACAGCCAATATCTCATGGTAGGAAGCAAGATAGATGTACCTTCTCCGCCATATTCACTCCGATCCTCGCATGGTCACGAGACATGACCCTCGAGTCGAACCAGGCGTTATAATGAGCGGGGACTAGATTCTTGGTTTCGCGCTTAGATGACCGGCCGATATCAACGTAGTCATCGTCAGATGCGAAGGTCAAGGACCGGAAGGAGAAGGTATCGGGACAGTAGAGGGGGTGAAGGGTCACGACGGCTGTAGGATATATGTCAGCTGTGCGCCATACAATATCGACCATACTCTCTCAAATATGTAGGGGGAGTAACGTACCTTGTCGTTCTGGCATGGTGATTAACGGGTCCTCGAGGGACGACGCTGGACTTGGACTTGAAGGTATCGGCAAGGCTACTGTCACTAGGTCCTGGCAGAGTCAGTTATCAGAGCCAACAAGAAACAGGAGAAACAGAAGGAATGGTGAGAAAGAGATAAGGTGGTAGCGACATACCTGGACCTGTATAACATGGACAGGAGTAGCTGAGTCAACCGCTGATACGACTTGTGCTCGTTGGTAGACGCTGATAGATATGCAGAAAGAAGAAGGAAAAGGAAAAGGAGAACGTAGGTAGAGAGAGAGAGAGAGAGAGAGAGAGAGAGAGAGAGAGAGAAGAAGAGAAAAGAGGAAGAAGAAGAAGGTGTGTTGGAAATGATGACGAGAGCCGACGGTAGAAAGAGAGAAGAGGAGGGGCAGCCGGAGGAATGCAGTGAGTGGATGGAATCAGGCTGAGGTCAACGCGGCAGTCGCCGGTCACTTTTGCGCCCACGGAAGCTGCACTATTTAGTTTGCTATTCCGCCCACTTTATTTAATTATTTCTACTATAGAGTAGGTGTACGGAGTACTGTTGTTGCCCGAAAGACGGTCATCATGGTATACAGGGATGGTCTGACTGTACAAGTACATGCATTTAATGCATTTACTCCGTCAAGTCCCGTGAGATGGAGTCTGGTCGCAGTCCCTTACTTAATCCACCGACCGATATTCTATTCTACTATGTAGACTCACCTCTATTCACTCTTTCCTCTTACATACACTCCATACTCCTGATCGATCCGTCGGTCCCGCAATGACGCCGATGCCTATTCATTATGGCTGTTTATTGGTGTTCTATAGGCGGGGCTGCGGGTCACCTGATTGCGATCACTGATAACACGATAAGAGTACGGTATCATCCCATACAGGTATTGGTAGTCTTTCATTCACTATGATACAGACATTCACTTCATACTCCTCGTCGTCAATCTAACATAGCAAGGCAGAATAAGACAAGAAGTCGAAAGAAAAAAAAAAAAAAAAAAAAGGATAAACGAAACACAACAACTCTTTTTGGTGAACCGAGGTCGCAAAACAAGCAAAGGAGATGGGAGATGTCGAGATGGCCAACCAACGACAAGGGTAATTACATTCAGAAGAGTTTGCCCAGGAACCAGGGGAGACGGTGTATTAAGGAGGAGGATATACGTGTTCCCGATATCCCGTTTAGAGAAGACACGGTGTAGAAGGGGAGAGAGCAGAAGGGAATAGAGCAAGGATCAGAAGAAAGGAAAGATATGATTAGCCCACAGATATCTACAGCGACTCCTCAATTAACGATTGGCCTTCTTTACAGACCGGGACCGGCACCGGCACCAAGCCCGGCACCCATGGTTTGCAATCGTGCTGCCAGCTTGGGGTACTTCTCTTGCACCTCCAATTGTGTCCGTGTTGCCTCGGCATACGAGATGGCGTTGACAATCTCGGCTTCCGTACGGGCCAGTTCCGCTGCCCGCTCGAAGTACTTGAGTGCCTGCGAGACCTTGCCTTGTTGCAGGAGCAGCTGGGCCATGGTTCCAACGGCGATATCACATTCGGGGTCGACTACATTATGTTAGAAAATCGTAAAGGCGGTCACGACTTATAGGAACTTACTGATGAGAGCCTTCTGGCAGAGGTTCTCCGCCTCTTGGAAGTCATGCTTCCACTGGAACAAGGCAAGCGCCTTGTTGATCAAAGGCAGAACATTGATACCCATGGGCTTGATCTGCTTCTCCATATCGACGGCCTTGTCGAACTTCTCAATGGCCTCGGAGAAGTTCTGCTGGTCGAGCAGGAGCTCACCGTAGTAGTTGTAGACATCAGGAACCTCCTCAAAGTTCTTCAGCGATCTCCGGAAGGTAGCCATGGCGGACGCAACAGAGCCCATCTTGTACTGGGTCACACCAAGCTGGATGTGGGAGTAGATGAAAGTACGGTCGATGTCAATCGACTTCTGGTAGTCCTTGGCGGCTTCTGCAAACTCTCCAAGAATGAAGTGGAGCTGAGCACGGTGGTAGTAGATGTCGGGGTCATCCTTGTTGTGGGTAATGGCGAGCTCGAAGTCATCAGCGGCGGCATCCTTGTTTCCTACAAATCGTTAGAACGGAACCCTTCAAAGTCACAATTAAAACATACCAAGCTCAAGGTGCAAGCTGGCACGCTTGATGTAGCTCTGCACCAAGGATGGCTGCAACTCAACACTCTTCTCAAGATCAGCCAAAGCACCCTGGGCGTTACCCTCAAGGTAGGTGAAGGTAGCTCTCATGTTAAGCGCCAAAGCCTCGAATTCACCCAAGTCGCCAAGTTCCAGAGCCTTCTCGAAAGCAGCAGCAGCCTCCTCGTAGCCATCACCGGTCTTCTTGCTGACACCAATCAATCCCTTGCGCAGCTCGGCCTTTCCAGATTCCTCGGGCAGCTCGACAGACTCCTCAAGACCCTCAGGGAGCGGCTTAGGGCGGAAGCTCTGGAGGTAGTTGGAAACGAAAGTGGGACTGGGGAGCTTCTTGCCCTTGGCCTCGAGAATGGCCTGACCCTTGTGCTCCGCAACCTTCTTCAAAAGTCTCTCGAGGGAGTTACGGCTCATTTCGTTGGAGAAACCGTCCATGATGCAGCTAGCGGTGAAATCGAGGAGAGCTTCGCTGTACTTCTCGAGGTGCTCGTAGGCAATGGCGCGACGGTTCAGGGCCTTGACGTACTCGCTGTCCATCTGGAGCGCGGCGGAGGTGTCCTCCACGACCTTTTCCCATTCCGACATGACATTGTAGCAGGCGGCACGGTTGGAGTAGTAGACGGGATCGGGCTTGCAAATGATAGCCTTTCCGTAGAGTTCGATGGCTCGGTTGTAATCCTTGGAGCCGTAGGCCTTGTTACCGGCGGCCTTCAGCTTACCGGCGTATATCTTTTTGGTCTGTTATGATTCCGACAAATCAGCATCTGCCAACCCCGTCCCACGAAGATCACCAAAATCGCTTAACACGAACCTCTTCCGACAACTGCCCAACGGTTGTCTCGTCCACCTCAGGAATGTCTTCGAAAGGTTCTTCCTTCTTAGCTGTTTGTTCTGTGAAACGTCAATTCAAACTTTTCCTGTTTTCGTATATATTTATATGCGGTTGGTGTAAACACCGGGCGCATAATATCCCGGTGAGCTGATAACAAGATAAACATACCATCCGGAACAGACGCAGACTTGGCCTTCTCCTCGGCCTTCTTCTTCTCTCTCCGTTTTTGGTTCTTGGTCTTCTTCTTCTCTGTAGCTGCCGCGGAAGCTGTAGCGGTCTTTGCGGGGGAGCTCGAGTCCGAGAGGTAGTAAACCACACCAGCGCTAGTCACGACGACTGCGACACCAGCGATAGTATAAACAAGCGCCTTGTTCTCCGACACCCATTTCGAAATGCGATCCCACACGCCGGAAGTAGTCGACTCTGGAAGCGAAGTCGTATCGACGACGACGTTCTTGGATAATGACGATTCGCTCATGGTGGGTTGTGTGTTTTTTTTTTAATTGTTGATGTTATGTGTGTGCTATATGATTACCCTTAGTAGCGGAGTTTGCAGGGAAGATATAAGAAAAATGAAGAAACTCGGAGATATAAGGTGGTAATCAATAGCCACGAGCAGCGAAAAGCAGCCTCAATGGAAGGTTTGGAGGTGGGAGAGAAACGCAAGGCGAGTGGAAGGAGACCACCTGAAAAAGTTCAGTTGAGGCGCCTCCCGGCCAATCGCGGGCAGCCCTGCTCCACCGCCCACATCATTCGATGACCATCTTTAACAACCCATTGTTCATAGCATATCGCAGAGAGCAAGGAGACTGTCCTTACTGATGCAGTCCTCGGAATCAAAAAACTGTGCTTAGGATTCCAATTGACATTTTTACCCTACAGTATGATCTCGAGGCACGTGTGAACATGCAAGCTATAGCCAGGAACTAACACCCTATGACGGAATCCTCGGTTCGACGGCTCGCTCGGGATCAGGTTACGGGAGCGGGCAATTGATACCCAGAACCTGTCGCGATGGCTTCAGATAGCTCCCAATCTTTTCAGATTATCTCCTCTCTTCGCTATGATCCGTCCCTTCCAGCTGTGGTGGCCCAACACGCCGCACACTCGTATCCGGAGCCCCGCCCAACACCTTACTACCTCCTCCCATACCACCTGGACCGTCTGATCAACGCAGCACGGCACTTCAACTGGCACCATGCCGTCCAATTCCTCGAACAAGGTCTCGAGGGCTTCACTTCCGCCCTTGATAGCTTCATCCCCGACCGCACAAAACCTTGGCGCCTTCGCACCGTCATCGAGGATAAACCAGGCGCGGGGTTGACAGTCGATGTAAACCCGGCAGCTCCAATTGACCCCCTCCAGCTCCTTCTCCCCTTTGCGACCGATGCAGCGCAACAATCAACCCCATGGCGCATCTACGTGGACACCCAGCCGACGATCCCATCCGCCTTTACCACCCACAAAACCACAGCGCGGGAGTACTACACAGCCGCGCGACATCGCGCAGGCATCATGTCCCCTCAGGACCAAGCGGAGGTACTGGTGGTGAACCCCGCGGGTGAGGTCATGGAGGGGAGTATAACGACCCCATATTTCCGACGGCGGGGAAGCTCTGGTAATCAAGATAACCATGATAACCATCTGGGATGGACCACGCCGCCGCTATCATGTGGCGGGAATGCGGGGACGACAAGACGGTATGCGCTGGCCCAGGGCTTCTGCGCTGAGCAGGTGGTTCCGGCATCGGAGTTGGTGGATGGTGAAAGGTGTTGGATCAGTAATGGAGTTAGAGGGTTTATGCGTGGGGTAGTTGTTAGACAACAGGCGTAGAAATTAGGTTGGCATTCCGTGCCTTGATGTGATATCAGATGTGAGTGATGTATGTTGATGCATAGCTTTCCACCTGAGATATATATCCGAGTCGATTATGCATACAACAAGCTCACGCCAACTATCTTAGCTCAAATCTTAGCTCAATAACAAGGAACATAAGACAAGGTCCAAATTGTTATTGGAGCGATCATCAGCATCCCTGTCCCTGTAGTCTTGCCCCTCCGTCGACCATCTCATCTCATCTCATCTCATCCCGAGAATCGCATTTTTTCCCTTTCATCTTCATCAAACCTGATCGCGAGAACAAACGAATAGACAGCAAAAGAAAATAGATAACCATGTCTTCCGCCTTTCTCGACCTTGCGCCCTCACTAGAGGAAAAAAACGACTGAATGGCGCAACAAGCTTATCGGCAAGAAAATGGGCAAGACTACTGATGCGACTGCATGCACCTAATCTCCGTATCACTGATTGTGTTTATGGAAGGTGTAGGCCGACGCTGATTCAATAAACAGACTTTTGCAGTCGAAGATCTCCCAGCAGGGAGTCGGGTTATAGGCCCTGGTACGGGCCTTCTTCTGGATTATAGAGGATAGGTAAGTGTGTCTGGTAGTTCATTTAAAAGTCAGTGGGTGACTGGTGGTATTTGTTCATGACAGGCTGAATGTCCATGTAAATGCAGAGGATGTTGTTGATGATGTTGAGTTTGGTTGATCATGTTATTATATCTGGAATGGTACACTGTGATCATCATATCATATAAACTTTTATACGTGACTCCATTCTGCATAGCTAGGGTATTCGTCAAGCAATCATCTATTTCTTCTCCTTGTCAACCTTGACAGGGTTGGGGTTCCCTGTCCACTCCAATGGCCGCTGGCTCATATACTCATTCAAGATCTCCCCTGTCACTTGAGCTCTCCGCTCTTGGAAGCCCTTGACATACTCCTGCAACTCAGCGATACACTTCTGCTTGATCTCACCAGTGAGCATCTCTCCCTTCTCGTACGCAACGCGAATGCGCTCGAGCTCGTTATCGTCTTCCAAGAAGAAAGTAAGGTACTGGAAGGGAACGTCTGCCTTGGTATTTCCACCGTGCTGGCGCTGCAGTTCTGCGGTGTCCTGGCCACCGGAGAAGGCGTACTTGTTGATCTTGTTCTTGATGCGGCTGGGTGCGTCGCTCATGAAGATAGCGGAGGTGTCGACGGAAGCGGACATCTTGGAGCCGGGACCTTGCAAGGCGGGGAGGAAAATGGAGTGGATGAGGGCGGGCTTTTTAAATTTCATCTTCTCGGCGTGTTCGCGGCACTGGCGGAAGTAAGGGTCCTGGTCGATGGCGCAGGGGATCAGGCAGGGAATCGAAGCGACCTTCTTCTTATCGGCACCGAAGATGTGCGGGAAGCTGGTTGCGAAAGCAGAGGCGGATTGGGTAGCGCAGAAGTGGAACTCGCCGACGTTGTTGCTATCGTTGAAGCCGAAGGTTCCTCGGACGGAGTTGATTGTGATTCTCTTGGCCATTCTGCACATGTTCTCGTAGAACGCACCACCGACAAAGTCGAAGTCGCTGAAGATGAAGGTCTTCTTCATGTCGAAACCAACTGCGATAATGTCCATTGCGTTCGCCTTGGCGTACCGCTTCGCATCATCGATCTCGATCTTTTGCGAGTGCATGAATTTCTCGTCGTCTGTCAACATAATGACCAACGGGCATTGGAATACATCCTGCAGCCACCTAGCACGCGCAAGTATTAGTATCCATCACAGACTATGAAAAAGCGGAGACAAAGAGGCGTACTTGGTGAACTCGAATGGAATCGTGTGCCCCACGTGCATACTGTCACTACTCGGTCCCCGTCCAGTATAGAGATAGAAAGGCTGTCCCTTCTCATAGCGATCAAGAATCAAGTTAAGTTCGCGATGACTGAACACAATGCCCCGACGCATGAACCGGTGCGGGCGATGACCAGTCACCCTCTCAAAGCGCTCGAGCAGCTCCTTGCTAATCCGATGTGCACCGAATTCCCGAACCAGCTTATCATAGTCGACTGGCAGCAGCTTTCCAGATTCATCGACACCACCAGAAACGTCAAAGGGAGTAATGATCTGTTCGACGGCCTGGGAGCTGGGGGCTTGGTCGGCGAGACTCAGCGTTGTGAGCGCGGGGGGTTGACCCGGTTCGTCGGCCATTGTGATATCGCAAAAGAAACGAGGAAGAGGGCAGAAAAGAAATATTTAGCGAATGCAATATCAGACGGCAAAAAGTAGAAAAAAGCTCACTGTAAAGGTGCTCAGTCGGCGCTGTACAGACAAAGATGCCCCTCCGAGATGACTCTTTTTTCCGGTGGTCGGCCCTAAGATAATCAGTCCGGGCGCTGATTGGCCAATGAAAGCAATCACTCACGTGATCTTGGCATAAAACCCCGCATTACCGAACGGGCTTAGCGTCATAACGGAAGCTGCCAGAAATTCTCCAACCGAAACAAAACGCCATCATTACCGAGCAGACAACATCACGCAACAACTCTCTACAAGCATATATTCTCAACGATTGAATCGATTTCTGTCTCTATCTCAACATAAGAGCATCTGCTTATGAATCCTGCATCATGAAGTTCTTCGAGAACAATTTTACCTACGATTATTCCTTTCCCGCCGTTTCTCTAGCCTACTTCCTTCGCTATCCGAATCCGTACTCCCGTCATGTCCTCACCACCGACGTTATCGACCGTTATGTCGATTCCAAGACTCAGCGTCTTCACACCACCCGATTGCATTTGAAGAAATCGAAAGTCCCTTCGGGTATATTGAAATTGCTCCCCAAGGGCATGGGCGGCTCGGACAACTCGGGCCAAAGCTACATCATGGAGACAACCGTTGTCGACCCCAAGGAAGGCTGGATGCACACGGAATCACGCAACATGGAATGGACCGGCATTCTGAGCGTGGTTGAGAAGCAATTCTTCGAGCGCCAGCCGATCGAGGGCGCTCTAGAGAGCCTCGAGGGGCTTCCTCTTGATGATAAGAGGAGTGGCGAGAAGACCACGGTCAAGACGACCGTTATTTTCAAGTCCCGCCTTGGACAAGGCAAACTGCTGGGCAACAAGAAGAAGACTGAGTCAACTGGTGACCAGGCTGGTGAAGCCGAAGAGCAGGCACCGAAACAGGGCTGGTTTTCCTCCCTGTCCACTGCGGGCATTCAACGCAGCATTGAGCTTATTGGAGTCAGCCGGACCAGGGATGCTGTGCTTAAAAGCAAGCAGGGGATGAATGTGGTCCTCGAACGGCTGCGCAATGGCGGCATCGTCGGTGTTTTGGAGGGCATGCGGCAGGATCGGGAGGCTCTCTATGGACCCGAAGGCCCGTGGAAGCGGGTCTGGATTAATGGCAACGGTCTTAAGGATACTGATGATGGCAATTGAGCCAACCAAAATTGTTGTGGCGTTATGCGGGTATGGTACCACAAAATCGTGTGATATCTCACCATGTTTTCAGCGTGGAGCTTTGGCGTTTTATGGATTGACTTTTGAATTCTGGTTTATCTCTGATGGACACTCTCCCATATTTTCGGCATCTGTCCAAATCTTTCAAAATTTCTTGTTACACCAGCACATCACACTGCAGAATGTGCTGCGATTACGGAGTACGAGGAAAGAGTCACGAGCACAAAAATACTGTACATTAGCGGAGGGGGAGGCACCTCACGTGTGTGATGAGGGGCATTTCTGTACTATATCTATTCTATCTGATGATCTAACATTGAGCATGTATCTTTTTCAATTTTCATTTATCTTCTTGAACATCGTAGTTATCGTATCGTATCGTAGCATAAAAAAATGGATGCCTTAGTAATATCCGCGAACCGTCTGGCACCGGCCGGAAAATCAACAACGCGGACAATCCGACTGGCCCGTTCACTTGGCCGTTGCACGGGCATAGGAGTGCGAATAGGAATCAGCGCGAGAAACAAAGTGGTGATCACCCTTCAAAGAAACCACATTCCAAGTCAATGACTTTCAGCATATATATATGTACTTGCCCAAGTACACGTGACATTACCAACATCACTCAAAAGGGCAAGGAGGCAAACGAGCTGGATTGATTGAAAGAATCTTACATTTGACCCGACATTGCAATTGGGAATTATTCCTTGCTTCGTATCTGGAATTCGCGAAATCGGGTTTTCTTGTTTTCTGAAGTGTCAGGAACGTTGCAGACCGTTGGGCGGGTCCTACGCTGCTGCGCGGGTTTAACATTCACATCGCATACACATACATTCCTACGGCGTACGTCGCACAGCATACATAGCAGAAGATTTTGCCGGCTATCGTCCTTACATCTACTACTTATCACGTACAGTATAACTGCATGGTATCACAGTGAATCGCAACCAAATACCAGACCACTTACCATACCAAGAAAGGAAAAAGAAAGGAAAAAGAAAGGAACCAAAAATGAGCCTTGACAACCTCCGCCAAGACTTCACCATCCACCCAATCCCCGAAATCGACGACGACTTAGAAACCACAGCAACAAAGCTCAAAGACCTAGCCTCCGTGGTGCAAAAAGGCAACAGCCTCGCTCTCTGGACGGGTCTGAAGGCAGCGACTCCGCAGCCACGCAGTGATGCGGAGACAAATGCGCGAATGCAGATGACGCCTTCGGAGCGGCAGGTTTATGATGCGTGGAAGGAGGGGAAGTATCAAATTCCGGAGTTTGAGTGGATGGGGAACGTGGCTGTTGTTCCGAAGGGAGCGCAGAGTTTGAAGAAGTTTGAGAAGAGGGCGATTGCTATGGATATTATTTGGGGATGGAGACCCTTATCTCAGCCTGAAAGGGAAGATAAGGGAGAAGGAGAGGGGTCAAGTGCAAGTGACAGTATTAGTACGAACGCTAGAGCCACGCCAGAGAATGCGTCGTGGTTGACGTTTAACATGCCAGCCACGTTACCGTTGATTCAAGCTGTCGTCCGGGTGTTGAACGCGGAGAACCAAGCGCAGCAGAATCCTCACGCTGGGTTATCGGAGATGGAAATTGTCGAGATGGAAACGGCGCGCAAGATTGTGGCGGCCGCCGAGAGGAACCGTTCCCGTGAACTGGAACGCATCCGTCTTCTGACTCGGTCGATTAGCCAAAATACGGAGGTGATGAAAGCTCGGATACAGAGTCTGGAGAAACGGCTCCAATCATCATCATCATCATCATCATCCTCATCCTCCTCCTCGCAGTCATCACTGTCGCCGTCGACACTGGAAACGACGGTGCTTAGGGGGGGGAAGCGAAAACAGCGTGAATCGGATTGATCTCGGTACACTGTGCCGTATACTTCGTACTCTATACGGATATTGCCGGACTACGGGAATAACTTTGGGCATCCGAACACATGATTCAAATTTGAGACAGGTCAGTGGACTTGGTTTTGGCATGATGCAAGGAATTTCCTCAATATCAAGAAATATTGCCGGCATTTTCATCCATTGACCCATACCGGGATTGGGGATGTTTACGGCGGGTTCCGTGCACCGGCATAACAGCCAGCATTGGCAATGAGGTCATAGACCCATTTGTACAATACACCCTGTAATATCTGTAATACCGTACGCTGCAGGAGTGCGGGCATTTGATACATAAGATTGGTGTTATTTGCATGAACCTGGCACATTTTTTGAACTCAGTGGGTGAATTCTCATGTGCTTGTACAACTGTACTGCCAATAACATTTAAGATATGCACTGTTAAGATCAACAAGAAGATCAACCGAAGACATGTCTATCACCAAACGGCCGTGATGAACCCTTTGTGAAGAAGATCAGGACCACTGTAAAAAAACTCTTCAGATCCGGAGGAGTCGGAGTTGATAGTAGTGGAGTAGTCTGGAACACTAGTCCCTGCAGGGGTGATACATGTACTCTGTACTATACAAAAGTTATTTGATACTATCCAACTATTCCGTACCATTCTCGTGATACTAGCACTCTAGTAGAAAATAGTTCTACACCGTACGGTGTAGTATTCCGTAGAGAGAGTATCTCCTTGGATGGTGCTCTGGTGCTTAGAGTAGCAACACGGAATAGCAGTGCACAGAGTAGTACATAGTGGAGGACAGTAGCATTGTAATACAAATACACTAGCGTTACCGATCGGCAAACGAACATACTTGATACGGAGCACAGTTATGCGACAGCCACTCACATCGCCGGAAACAGCGTCAAAAATGCCCGACCACCAGGGGCAGTGGATCCATCCCTGTTTTGGTGACCCTGCGTAACGGTAATACGGTAATTCGTCGGGGGGATCCGATCGCCACCACCCAATGACATATTGCAAATACACTTACCGCCCAAACCCTTTTCCACCCTTTTCCCCCCACGGCGAAACCAGCCAAACTCTCTTCTTTCACTCTCTCAAATTCTCTCCTCTCGTTTATTTCCCTCTTATCATCCGTTCATTATTCTTTTCTGTCTTTTTTCCACATTATTATAGACGCTATATTTTAATTATCGCCAACCGGTGTATCTCACTGGCTATAATAATAAGCGCTGCGGGACGGCTATTCTTCCAACTCTCCTGGCAACAAATCCCTGATTGGCGAACGAGATCACCTAAGATTATGCCCTTGAACTAACAACCCTCTTCTATCCTATTATTATTTCTACCATTTCTCTCATCTTTGAAACCTCGAATTTTCAGCACAAGATTCTCTCACTACTTTTCCCACCGACCAGAGGTGACGAGCATGCCAGTTGTTGTCCTGGCCGCTGCTTTTCTGTCCCTGTCGCGCCTCTGAGGTGGTCCTGGTCGCTCTCTACTACCGAACAATAACACAATCGATTGTTTTCATCACGATATACGAGAATATATTATACTACGCTACTCTCCTGTCAATGGCTACCTCGACTTTTGGTGTAGGGTGGTGTCGACCCATCACGCTGTTGTTGTTACTATGGACAACGTTCCTGCATTTGACCTCCGCTCAACTATGCACCTTTTGGGATGGGGGCTGTGTTGATCCCCTAGCCCAGACGGCCATCTCGCTCGACTTGCCGCCACTCTTCCTCGAGGATGTCAACCTATATTACGCCTACGATGCTGATCCCCAGGGTAAAGGTCATGGTCCGATGACCAAGGTTAGTTATTGGCTGCGGTACGGTCGGGAGATCAACAGTTCGGCCATCACCACCAACCGCACATCCGAACTAAGTCTTCGTGTCGGTAACTTGACGGGCACGCCTTCTGGAAACAACAACGGATGTGATGGTATTTGGGGTCCTCGTTGTTCGAGGGATCTGAAGAATTTGTTGAGTGGTGCTGTATATGAGCTGGCGACCGAGGGCGAATACAATTCGAATCCTTTGCAGACGGTGCTTAACCAAATGCACTCAACTCCGCCTTTGTTGGAAAACTGTCCGCCTCAGTTCTTTGATGTTCAGTCGGCTCCGGTAATTCGTATGTGATCTCTTTGTCGATCGATGGTGACAGCAACGTGCTAACCGTACCAGGATTCGCTCAAGAATCGAAGCCTGAACGTACCGCTACCATCCAAACAGCTGGGTCCAACACCAGTCCGTGGAAAACATGGTATATCGACCGTATGAGTGCCCGTCAGCAGGCCGAACAGGTTGCCGTCGCCATCTTCAGTCGCAGTCCATCCGATGACAGCCCACCACCCTCCAGTAAAGACGATATACAAATTGAACTGGCTTGTCTTCAAGCCCCATCCGGAAATACATTCAACGAAGATCCAGACTCTTAACCGACTTAATTCCATCTTTCCATCGAATGAATCTATCGAAATCGCTATATCGCGACGCGAGCAGCTTCTGCACCTTGGACCTTGTTACCAAGCATAGCGCCCATCGTCTACCGTGCGGCTGGTTCACGACTACCAGACCGATCATCCTTTGATTCAGACGACGCCGCTGAGCGGCTATCATGGCACCTGTGCTATGCTATGGCTATCAACTCCGCAGCAGAGCGAAGCACCGGTCTTGGTCAGTTTCAATGACCACTGGACAGCACTTACGCTAGCTCTATCGCAGCTTGCACTGGCTGCCACTCCCTGGTCTCATGAGAGCCTGCTGCGGATTGTATATATACGCATTGATCTTTTGAATAGATCATGTTTGAGTACCTCTGGTCGGATATACATGCACCATCTATAGAGGACCAATATATATACAATTTTCTATCAATTTTCATCCTAAACACATCACATCGTAGGCCAATCCATCTCAATCCCTTCCAACTCCCCTGCCCCCCAAAAATCCTCCACAACACTCGCCCGCTCACTCAACATAACCCTCTCCGACTGCCTCCCCACCCCCGCCAACCCCCTCCATCTCTCCAAATCCTTTCCCTCCCTCTTATCCCCCTTCGCTACCCCATCCCCCTCCCAATGCCCCCTCGAAAACCCCAACAACGTCGTAATCAACCCGCGCGGAATATCAAAAACAAGCGAACAAATAGTCCCCGTCTCCTCGAGCCAGTTACATTGCCATAATTCCCCGGGACGAATGCACTGGTATGTTACTTCTTGGTAGTTTTTGCGGCCGGCCATGGGCCCGCCATGGATGACGTAGATCACGCGGTCGGCGTTATAAAACCATATCTCGTAGCGCCATTTGTCCGGGTTGCCGTCGCGGTCGTGCGTGTCGTAGTCGTAGATAATGTGGCGGTTGGAGAGGTCTATGGTAAAAGTTGAGGCCTCGGCGGGAGGGTTTATGGGCATGTTGCACCTTTCCTTTTTTTTTTTTTTTTTTTTTTTTTTTTTTTTTGTCTTTTTTTGATACTGCACAGGGGGGGGGAGGGGGTTGTGGATTGGTAGTTGGTGACTGGGATTTAGTGAGGTAGAATTGAAGTTGAGTCTTTGTATGTACTTGTGTGTACTTGTAAATGGAATTGTATGTTCTACGATCGACATGTCCTGCAGACTTAAGACATAAAAGCTGCGGGTAGTGACGTCATTATGTCAATGGCCGACCGAAGATCATCCGGTTTGTACTTCGGGATCTCCGATAACACCGTCGTCTGTCCCTGGTACATAGATACACCTGATTCAAGCATCATTCCGTTATGAATACCGTATCAGGGCTATGAGTTGCGGTGCTGAATCAAGTCCAAGTTTTGATAGTTGTGGGTTTAATCCATCGCATGTGAGAATCGGTCATTTACCTGTAATGACGAGGTCGGTCCAAGTTTATTAAGAAAGCGAATGGCATCTTGCATGGTAAATTTTCACGAGATATAGTCCTTGATTTCGATATATTCTTTGTTAGCGTACTCTTCACAGCGAGGAAACGCCTCCCACTGGCAGCCCAGACCAACTACATGAAAAAGGCATTACATGATGAAATAAAAATGGCAGTATTTATTTATACCCTATGTACGGAGTATATGATTAGAAGGACTTCAGTCCACACGGATAACCGTTGTTGAGTCGAGCGTCGAGCGTCGAGCGTCATCTTGAGAACCTAGAATAGAAAGAATAATATTTCCTCAGCGCTTGTCTTTATGCCGAATTTAAAAACCGGATGTTTCCAAGTCAGATAACCTCCCGATTTCCCCGATGCTAATGCCGACCATCGCACCATTCTAGGGAGCGTTAAGCAAGTAGTCTCATGGCACAAGAGGAAAAATCTCACCTCTTCGAGAAACTCACTAGCCGCACGCGGATCTACCGATTGACACCACTGGCTTTTGACGAGCTCAAAGAACAGCTTAATACAATCATAGCACTACTATTGAGGATCAATCTACAGACATGACTTTATGGCTTTGAGCTGCCTTCATAGCTGCCTTCATATAGACAAGAAACTTTCTTGATACTTCTATCATGGTAAGGACAACGATTGCTGTAAAGAACATTGGAGTAATACCATAAGGCAAAACAACCAACATCTCCCTGGCCCCGAACCGTGACCGACAAGGCGATTATTTGGCCTGGGCCATCTCCCGCAATGCGGCCAAGGACGGCATGAAGAAGTATGAACCGCCGTGGGACTCGACAAATGGGTCGAAGTCAATCTGATTTGGATCGCCCTTTCTGTCGAGGATGTTCATGCGGAGCTTCTTGGAGGAATCCTTGGCCCTGTCCGTCATGATGGGATCGGCACCGGGTATCACAGGTTCCACGGGTGGGAACTCGTTGTTGTTGAACCAACCTAGGAAAAAAACGCAGTCAGCCAGATTATCACCATTTCTCTAGACCAAGGGCGGGAGAAGCATACTGTTGGTAATAAACTCGAATCCGTTGGTGAGGCTACTCTGGTAGCAGGCGAATAGAAGGCCACGGTCCACGGTTGTCTTATTCTGCTTCAGCTCATCGTCTGTCACTTCGGGCCCATACGGAATGCCGCGGCGCATAATGTCGAACTTTGCCTCTTCGGCGCCGAAAAAATTCTTAACGTCCCCTCGAGGCCTCGACTTGCGGATGTGGGCCGCAAAGGGGCACTTTGATTGGTCTTTAAATTTGAAGTCAAAGTCGTCCTTCTCAGCATCTCCAAGGTTATCGATGTCGGGATTGGTTTCCACTGGGGCACCTGCAAGTGACTGTCAGGATCAATTCATCGACGGATGATGATGATGAATCTCGAGACTCACCACTTTCCCAGCGTCCGACCAGGCGCGCGCCTAGCTGTCCTTGAGTGTATCCCAGACGGGAAGCCTCGTGCTGTAAAAAGCTGCAGGGACCAGTCAGCCAATGGGCAAGGACATCTCATTGGATAACATACTTTTTGAATTCCGGGACATGCTGTTTCAACTTTCTAAAGACCAGATAACTGCCGTCCTTAGCCCAGGAGGGCTCTTCGTCCTCGTCGTATCCGTTGATAATGAACCTGGAGTCGTCAGCTTAGCATGCTCATAATGGTCATCAGTCTGACGCCTTACCCTGGCGGCGTGCTTCGGAAAGATTTCCTGGGGGTATTGGCCTTTGCGTTATCAAGGACCTCCAGTTGAGGCTGCGCGATGCCATCCTTGAATCCAAAACTGGAGAGTGCGAATTAACTAGATGCCCCGAAAATAAAGTTTGAATCACGGTCCACACTCACTGTTCATGGCCGGCTTTATCGCCTTTCAAATCCTCTCCCCGGATTGTCTCGATCGTGTTCACGCCGTGGGACTTCCCTAGGAAGCTTTTTTCCACCCATGCAAGTCGATTTTCAACCTTCTCTTTTTCACCGCAAATTAGCAGCACGCCGTCCACCCCTTCCCGGAATGAGTTCAGCCAGCGGTCCTCTTGGTCTCGGCCATCCGTCACCATGCTGTGGAATTGACCCTTAGAAAACGCTGGGTCCTTCAAATCAGTCTTCCCCAGCTATAGAGATAAAAGGATCAGCAATGTTCTCATGCATTTTGATGAATAAGAAAAGAAGTCCCGGGAGACTTACCTTTTCCAGGCCGTTGTGGCTGAATGCGATGTTGACGCCGGCAATCGGCAGCCTCTCCGGGCTTTTGATCGTGCCCTTGGCCAGCATACTCTTGTGCTCGAATGTTTGGCCTCGCATATCTTGGGCTCTAGAGGCGGGGGTGATGACTTCATTGGCAATTTTCTCCAACTGGGGCTTGAACTTGGGGGCATCTGCAATGTTGAAGAAGCAAAAGATCTCATATTTCTTCAGCAGACCAGGCCTTCCCGCACGTCAGTATCAAGAAGGTCATGATAATGGAGGTTTCGATAGCCATACCAGATATCAGCCTGGATATTGTCCTTGTCGAACTTGAGGTTGTTGGTGTCTGGCATTTTCAGTGTAAAATGCGTTCTGATAAGCACTCGAAAGGTAAGGAAAGAAAGTAGATGATGTTCCTTCTTCAGCCATACACGACCGGCTTTTTATAATACAATTCTGCGCTGTAGGTCTGCTCGTTCAACCGTCTGGTCTTAGACTCGTACCGAGGAATACAGCGCATGTACAGGTGACGAATGCTACAGTTTGATTGACCTTCTTGCTTGATTTCGAAAGCGAATGGGATGCTCGCCATTTTTCAGCTGGGGTCGACGGTTCCATCAATGCCCCATGTCAGCCCAAATCCTGTGATGGCTTTTATTTGTGATCACCAATCTAAAGTTCAGTTGAGGTGGGGTTCGCGGGCTGAGTGAACCCTACACTCGCAGTGTCACACCGTATACAGCCCAAGTGGGTCGAAAAAAGCACTCCGTACTTACACGGCGACAGGCAGTAAGAGCGTTGGGTGAATACCTCTGTGGTGAGGGGTCTATACTCGGACCCAACTGTTTGTAGATACCTGTAACTACGCGGAGCAATCTTACAATGGGCTCTTCCGACATACAATCAGGGATTGCTAGGAACATTAGAAGTTGCAATACGTTATTCACATCGGACGTTTCCAGCTGCTGAAAGTCTCCCGTAACCTCCGTCTAGTAGCAATATGGCATTACTTAGGTCTTAGCACAATGCCGTATACCCTTGCATTAACGTACATGCACAGCAAGCTGTACATAGTAAGTAATCAGCTAAATTTCTGGATATTTGCTATAGACGGTGTCATTAGCTGTTCTCGTCTATAAGTAGTTGGTATTGTGGCTGGCTGATATTGAGAGTTGTGGGTCCTCACTGGAGGAGAATGATGTATGCTGTACTCCATACTCGTAAGTCGAATCATCGCAATACCCCACTGCATGCCAGACAAGCACGAGGTTAGCTGAATGGCTTGCTAGTCAAAAGTTCACCCACCGCTGACAGCTCTACACATCACTGAGCCAGCCACCTACTTGTGTGCAGATTCTTTTCTTCACTGTGCATTGCCGTTCTGGGGAAGATATAGCAACAACTGCCTCCCATTGCGCCCTTTTCAGCATCTACAAAGAACCGGGTCGTCTTTCCTTAATTTGGAACACGAGGTAGTTGCTGCTATCTGCTGTTTTCGCAGAGAACTATGTACTCCGTACATATTCCATACCTCATGGCCCATTATAGACCACGAACTGTTGAGCCAATTATCACGCATGAAAAAAACATTTACTAAATACTATAATTAAAGGTGGAAAACGGTGGAAGGATTACACCTGAGGATCCATAATAAATCTTCTCAGAAATGCCCTAACGGCCGGAATTATCTACGATTGGCAAACGGCCGCACCTGGGACACTTAGCCGTCTGTGCGGTTGCATCCGTTCGTGCAGAATAGCTTATCTCCACTCCATCACCACAGACTCGTAATCATATTCGATATTATTGGTGTATAAACACACAGGAACCTGCAGGAGCATCCACAATACCATGCCACTCACTGTATGGCTGAGTTGACAGTTCATCAATACCTTGATAAACTGGAGAATCAGCCAGCAACTGCGGACGATCGCTGCGATTCTGCTCGCTAATTATGTATGTTTCTGAGATGGTCGGAGAATCCCCTCCGTCGGACCTTCCTGGAGTAGAAATCATAAAAATCTGATTGAAGATCCATCAAGCCTCGCTTACTCTGAGGGCTGGCTGACCCCGCTGATCTTTTTGCTATTTACAATACACCCTCCGCGGGAATGTCGGTCTCTGCATTTGTTGACGTTGATCCCTTGAGAGATGCCGAACTCGTAGGAATAGTATTGAACCTGACTTTTCCCTCCTGTGGAGTATTTTTGAGCGCTCGCGCATATTGAGAAAAAATGAGCGCACTATAGATTAAAACTGAGGGTTCCATGACGGCTTGCACTTCTTGTCGTGGAATATGGCCGCAAGGCCAAGAAAAAGGACTCGGAAAGCAGCCGCGTATCATATACATTGACAACGCTTCGCATCAAAGAGAATCCAGATGGACACTTCCATGCGTTAAAATCATGTTAAGTGCGCTGGTGATGACAGCCCGGTTTCCTATTTGGGCACTCCGGAGACCATCCACTGCCGGGAAGCTAAACACAATTAATATTGGGTAGCTGGTTCCCAATAGTACTGTCCTATGCTCTATTACACTAACCCTGTTCATTGTACAGAGCCGGCCTGGAACAAGGATTTCGCAAAAGCCCCTGGAGCTCAGGTCAGGTTCACGCAATCCCCTCTGGTCACGCTTGACATAATCGAAGTCGAAGAATTGTAGCCTGACAGGCGTGCTGCTACCATAGACAATGAAAAAAGCCGCCAGGAACTAGTGAGTAAGCTCCTTCTGTATTGGACTGGTAAGAAGATGTTCAGTGCAGCCCTTAACTTGTGTATATAGCGGGCCCAACATCTCTCCTTTTGGGATTGTGTGCAATGCATATATTGATGAATTTATCATGCAGGTTAGCATTCATTTTCACGTTCTTTATCCGGAGATATCACTCAAGGAACCCGTCTCAGCAGCTAACCTTAGGTGCTCGGTCGAGTTATCAGAATTATGAATATAACTGTCCTTGAACACCTTTTTATTTCCCCAGCCGCGCCTTCGGCATCTGGTCGTCGCGTGGCGGTTGTTGATTTTGTAGAAGAAGTCATTTTACCATTGGACGAAGCCATTGGTATAACGATGCCACGACCTATAACCAAACGGAGGATGAATGCCAGTCCCATGGTCGTGAGTTCCTTTAAAGTGACCGTAAGAACGTGATGAGCCAATGCCTCCATCATAATGAGGCCCGAACATGACGACGAAAACCATGGCAGAAGTTCAAATGATAATCAAATAACATCTTGCATGGTGACATATCCCTCTCCTTGTACACATCCCATTTGGTCGACAAATGGAGCTTGCACTCTTCGCACCGAGGAAATGTTCTAACTTGTTTCGAATAAATAGACAATCTGACACCACAGGACTAACTACATGAGAAAGGCTACGAAGTGGAATGTGAAAGAGAAAGACTCCTGAATGTATATTCATTTTTTGTATCGGTATATAGTCAGAAAACCCCACCAATTAGCCAAATTCAACTCCCCCCCAAGGCACATTAACCCTGGGTATTTACGTGAATTTGCAGGAATAGAGGAAGAGGTCCGTTATCAGTCTCGATGGAATCCCAGATTTGCTCAATTTTATCCTTGAGCAATTCATCAAGCACAGGAGAAGTGTCAACACTACAGTCAGAGCGGATTAGTAGGACAGTCTTGAGAAAGAACAGGGTAAACTGGAACCGGACATACGTGACTGCAACAAAGAGAGGCCACACACGTGGAGAAGGCGCAACTTTGCCACTGTTTAGATTGCCACCAATGTCTTCCAAAGCATTTTACACGGCTTCAAGGAGAGGGCTTTCGCTTTGGAAGTTATCAGTATATGTGAAAAGGGTATAGGATATGGAATAATCGGGGACTTACGAGTCGCCAAGATCACCAAAGTTGATTCCGTTAAAAGCCCTCAATCTGGGCCAAGATATACTAGAAGGATTGATGTAAGTGAGGTGCTTTCTTTCTTGTTTGTTAGCGAGATGGGTAGGAGCATACAAAGTTCTAGATTGTGTTAGCTCTTCGTATAATGTCTCTTGGGCAGGTGACTTATACTCATTTTGATAGTAGGTGTTCTCGACGTTGTTTTAAAGATGATAGAGAATAAAATAAAAGAGCTAATTGATCGAGATTTGAGCAGAATTTAAGTGTCCTGGCTATCCAGATGGGCTAATCGTATCCTCCATGGTGGATGCGTGGACCGGCTCTTATGTTCATGATTAGTTCAGTGCCATGGTGGGAAAAGGGTGGGGGAGGGGGGTTGATGCATCGGGATGAGCATGCAATAATTATATGAAAACGCAATCATCAATACTGAGAATAAAATGTACGAATTCTTCAATTTTTCCTCTAGCCTGACATCCCCGAAGATAAGATCTTGGATATCAGATGATCTGTCGTGCATAAAAGGCGGGGTCGACCTCATCTCACTCAACGTCAACTCACCTTCTCCAGAACATCCATCATGCTCCCAGATCTCCGAGATATCACTAAACACAATATCCAAACATTCCAGCGTCGTTATGTATCGGAGATTTCGGGCTCCCTGGGCGATCTGGGGACATTCCTCCCCATAGCCATCGCACTGGCCGTCAACGATACCATTTCGCTTTCTAGCACACTCATTTTCTCCGGAATCTACAATATAATCACCGGCGTCTTCTTTGGTATACCGTTACCTGTCCAGCCTATGAAAGCTATTGGAGCGGTTGCTATCACCAGATCGTTCAGCAATGGTACCATCGCAGCCGCGGGGCTTTTTGTCAGCATATGTGTATTGATATTCAGTATCACCGGTCTACTGCACTGGTTTACCAATGCTATCCCCATTCCAGTCATTAAAGGAATCCAGGTTGGTGCAGGATTGTCCTTGATCATCGCGGCCGGGGGTAATATACTCTCATCTTTGTCGTGGATCCATCCCTCATGGGCCGATAATCGCATCTGGGCGATTGCGGCGTTTTTGGCTCTTCTCGGGTCGCAAATCTATTGGAAAGCTCCATATGCCCTGTCAGTGTTCGTCCTGGGCCTGGTCTTTGCCATTATCCGCACAGCTACCGGTCCCTCAGCCCGTCTGCCATCGTTCCAACTCTGGCGGCCGACTGCCAATGTACCAGGGCCTCACGAGTGGCTCGTGGGTACCGTTGATGCTGGTATCGGACAACTCCCACTCACAACTTTGAACTCGATTGTGGCAGTTACACATCTGGCAAGTGATCTTCTGCCACAGGTGCGCACTCCATCTACCACCTCGATTGGGATGAGTGTGGCCGCTATGAACCTTGTCGGATGCTGGTTCGGCGCGATGCCCGTGTGTCACGGATCTGGTGGTCTTGCGGCACAGTACCGGTTTGGCGCTCGATCCGGC